GTGACGCCGCAAGTCACTGGTAATATGTCTAACTTTTAAGAGCGGTTAACAATTGAACCGCTCTTAAAGGTTAACATATAATAGCGGTTCCCGTTTAATCGCTCTTAAAAGTAACATATAATAGCGCCTCCACTTTAACCACTCTTAAAAGTGAACCTATAATAGCGGTTCCACGTCAACCGCTATCTAAAATCTCGATAATTTGAAAATATAATCGATTATTTGAAAATATAATTGATCATAACGGAGTATTTAAAATAGCGGTTAAAGTGGAACCGCTATTATAAGTCACTTTTAAGAGCGGTTAAACTTGAACCGCTATTACATGTTCCTTTTAAGAGCGGTTCAAATGTTAACCGCTCTTCAAAGTGACACATATATATTAAATTAAAATAAAAAAATTATTTATCAATTATATATTATAAAAATTATAATTATATAATTAAAAAAATCATATTTATAATTATAACTTTTAAAAAAATTATAACTATAAAATTAATGTTAAATAAATTATATATTATATAAATTATAATTATATATAGATATATTACTTAAATTAAAATCTTTAAATTAATTAATTATATATATATATATATATATATATTTTGCATAAATTAGAATAATAATTATCAACTTGAAAATAATTTATATTTAATATATATATATGTATATAAATTTAAATAAGTTATATTTTGGAAGTCACCTCGAGGGAATCACTTCCTCCTAATTTACCGACGGATATATCCGTTCGGTAAAACCAAATCTCGATAATTTGAAAATATAATCGATTATTTGAAAATATAATCGATCATAACGGAGTATATAAAATAGCGGTTAAAGTGGAACCGCTTATTATATGTCACGTGTAAGAGCGGTTAAATTGGAACCGTTATTACATGTTCCCTTTTAAGAGCGGTTCAAATGTTAACCGCTCTTAAAAGTGACACATATATATTAAATTAAAATAAAAAAATTATTTATCAATTATATATTATAAAAATTATAATTATATAATTAAAAAAATCATATTTATAATTATAACTTTAAAAAAATTATAACTATTAAATTAATGTTAAATCAATTATATATTATATAAATTATAATTATATATAGATATATTACTTAAATTAAAATCTTTAAATTATTATTATATATATATATATATATATATATATTGCATAAATTAGAATAATAATTATCAACTTGAAAATAATTTATATTTAATATATATATATATATATATATATATATATATATATAAATTTAAATAAGTTATATTTTGGAGGTCATCTGGAGGGAATTTACTGATCGGATATATCTCGTTGGTAAAACCAAATATCGATAATTTGAAAATATAATCGATTATTTGAAAATATAATCGATTATTTGAAATTATAATCGATCATAACGGAGTATTTAAAATAGCGGTTAAGGTGGAACCGCTATTATATGTCACTTGTAAGAGCGGTTAAACTGGAACCGCTTATTACATGTTCCCTTTTAGAGCGGTTCAAATGTTAATCACTCTTAAAAGTGACACATATATATTAAATTAAAAAAAATTATTTATCAATTATATATTATAAAAATTATAATTATATAATTAAAAAAATCATATTTATAATTATAACTTTAAAAAAATTATAACTATAAAATTAATGTTAAATAAATTATATATTATATAAATTATAATTATATATAGATATATTACTTAAATTAAAATCTTTAAATTATTATTATTATATATATATATTTTGCATAAATTAGAATAATAATTATCAACTTGAAAATAATTTATATTTAATATATATATATATACATTCTAAAATATAATTTATTTTAATTTCTATAATATATATATATATATATATATATATATATATATATATATAAATGAAAATAAGTTATATTTTGGAGGTCGCTGGGAGGGAATCACTCCCTCCTATTTTACCGACGGATATTTCCCTCGATAATTAATAGTTCATTTACCGATGGATATATACGTCGGGATAACCAAATTTCACAACTATCTTAAATCCGTCGGTAATTTCCGTCAGTAATTACTCATTTTCCGACGGCTCTAGATCCGTTCGGTAAATATCCTCGGTAAATCAGAAATTTCTTATAGTGATTTAATTAGTTTGAAGTAATAAAAGTTTAAATTATCAATTCTTTTTAATAATTTAAAATACAATTATTTTATTAAGATAAAATTTGATATATGATAAATAAGAATATTAAGATAAAAAATATGACATAATAAAATTTAATAAATATAAATTAAAATAATATTAGTTACGACTAATATTTATGTAAAATATTTAGAAAAAGATAAAAAAAATTAATTTTATGTTCATCAAATTGATTGAAAAGATTGAGAAAAAAAATAAGTTGATGGGAGAGATTAAGGAAATGTGAACAACCGAGACGTAAGAGAGAATAATGTAATAAATTAATTGATATAAAAGATTAAAAAAGACGAAAAAATTAAAAAGTGGGTAGAAGAAAAAAAATGGTGTAATATAAAAAAACGATATTATATGTAATAGAAAAAGAAAAAAATATTTTTAAAATATTAATATTTTAAAATTTAAATTTAAATATAAAGTCGGGACGGAGAGAGACTCGAGGTGGGGATTGTATTACCCATTCCTGCCCCCATCCCTAACTTTTTAAAATGGAAAAAACCCGAACATGCCCTCATTCTCAATCAACTCGTGTTTTCATTGTCAAACTCAAAACGAAAAGGGTTCGATTTCCACCATTACTGGTTTAATTCTCATTTCTAACTGGAGGTATATCTACAACCAATCACAATGCAAAATAGTGCTTGCATACTCATTCTCTTTGACGGAGATACTGCTTAATAGAACTTTACAACCCCTCTCCAATGCAATTGTACCCATTCTTTTATCATTGATTTATAAACTCTTAAATTTAATAACCAATTTGTTCTATAAAGGTAAAAAAAAAAAAACAAGTTTTCCCAGTTGTCACTTGTCTGGACATAGCAAATGGGCATAAGTATCATTAACAGTATCATCTCTTCGCATTAAGGGACTAATTTTCAATTCATATTGATTTGAATTGAATAAGCTATATGGTCCTTCCTATAAAAGTTGAGTATAGTGGAAGGTACTACTTTTTCACAACATAAAGAATTAAGGCTCAAATCTTTACTAGCTATAAAAGATACTTACATTTGACCCTGTTTTAAACAAGATCATCTCTGCTCAAAGATAGTTGTAAAAATAATTATAAAGTTTGTCTCCATCCTTATTTTTATTTTCTTTTAATTTAATAATAAAATGTGAGTTAAGTATATTAAAAAAAGAAAGCTAGGAAGAAAAGTAACATGATATTTCCTCTATTACTGTTAATTTACATTTAAATATAAAACACTAATTAAGATTAGTTTTAACCGAATAAATTTTATATATTAATTTCATCCAAAATCAATTTACACATGCACCCAATATTAGTTTTAATTATTTGAAGCATTGCTGTATAATTTCAGCTCTTACATCTAATCCATTGGATAAAGATCATGCATATTGTTGTCCCTTTTATGACCATGGTTGATGCCAGCAACTTAGCAAACATCTTTTAAGCGCCCTTTATTCTACTTTTTTCCACTTTTAGAGTCCCAAGCAGATGGCTGCAACTTGACTATTTGAATTGTAACCAATAACAATTGCAATTGTGATAATCATATTATTGATTCAGGCTTTTCACATGCTATTTGAATTATCTGAGCTAGTGGCCTGATTATAATATAATTTTCAACCATATTAACTACATTTTTTTTATTTTGTTATCTTATTCACAACTCTTATCATCAATGTACAAACCTCTTTCTTATTTGAATACAGGTTTATAAATAAATAAATAAATAAAATATATATATAGTCACCCTATAATGAGTGATTTTGATTATTATAAAAATATTTCTTTATCTTTTTCCACTCGAAAATTAAAAATCACTACTTCTAATCTATATAATATTACATAATATTGATTAACTACTTAAATATTGATTAACTACTTAAATATTGATCAAAAGGTTAAATAATCATTTCAATTTCAAGTTAATGTTTGTAATATAAAGTTGACACATTTCACGTAAACAATTTTTTAAAATAAATGTTATTTATCTATGTTGCATAAACCAAATTCCACATATATGTTATAAGAATTAGAAAGAGTTATTTTAAATTTTATAAAGATGAAAAAGATTATAAAAATTAAAATAAAAATTTACTAATTTTTTAGGAATTAATAACATATTTTAAGTGATTGAATAATTAGTATTTACGTAAACATAAAAAAATAGTAATAGAAGAAAATGAAGTTAACATTATAATGAAATGATAAGAGGCAAAGTATATTTCCGTACATTTTCCAACTAGTGGGAAAATTTTATCGTGTTTATAATTTTAGCTTGGTACACGTAAACAGTTGGATAAAATCATGTTTATTTAGAATTGATTTGATCTCAGTTTAGAACACCAGCAACAATTTTTATTATAATTTTCCACCTTTGGGGTCCCTGTGACCTGCAACTTGACTGTTGCATCGTATTCAATACCATTGCAACTGCATGGAAAGAGCCACATGTGTGGAAAATCTACCCTTTCGAGATTCTGAGGGGCCTTTGTTTAATAAAAGAAAATCTTCACCACAATCTTGAATGCATGGTTTATGATCTTAGTCGACCTTAGAATACTCATAGATCACAACGGAGATACATTGGCCAGTCATAAATTATATTATATTATATCTAAAAGTTTTTAAGGGTAAGAGAAGGAACCTGGAAAGCACTTCTAACATTATTTTCCCCTATATAAAATACAGACACATATGTACACTATATATATGTATATAAATCAGAGCCATGTACATTGAAAACAACTCAAACTCCAACTCAAACTCAAACGAGCCTCTCTTTATTCCCTTAGCTTTTATTCCCTCTCTTTTTTCTTGCTAGAGAATTTGATCTCATGGATCAGTCCCACAAGCTTTCTTCCTTCAGTTGTGAACTGAGAATAATACAAGCCCAAAATGTTGAGGCCATAAAGTCAGCAAGAAACTTATTTGCTAGGTTATATCTTCCTTCAGGGAACAACAAAAGAATTCAACTCAACACCAAAAAAGTTTCCTCAAATATCAATCATGTTCCCTTTTGGAACGAGTCCTTTAGCCTAGATTGTTCATGTCCCCAAGAATTCTTGGAAAGCCTCAAGAAGGAAAGGCTTGTGTTGGAGCTAAGGCAAAGCAAGATTTGGGGGTCACATGTGGTGGGAAAGGGTGAGATTCCTTGGAAGGCAATTCTTGAATCACCAAAGATGGAGTTGAAGGAATGGGTGAAGATGGATTTGGTGAGTGGAAGCAGTGACTGTGATGAAGATGGTGTTAATTTCAAGGCACCAGAAGTGCAAGTGGAGATTAATATAGAGAACAAGAGTAACAGGAGAAAGAGATTGACCAAAAAGTGGGACGAGTGTGGATGCAAACATGGGCATGATCTAAATGCATGGTGCAGCGCTGAAGATTATGATATATTGGCTTTAGGAGCAGTTTTGGAGGCTTTTTGATTTACACAGCAATTGATGCACTAACATGAATTAGCTAGTTAATTAATTATATCTTTGGGTTGCTTTTGTCTGTTTTCATTCACTAAAATATATTAGTTTGCGAGTCATTAGAATTGATTTTTTTTTTTTTTAATGTTGTAATTGTATGTATGGTCTGTATGATTTGTTTTGATACTTGAAGAACTGTATTATAATTAATTAATGTCTAATCCCCTGGTCGGCAAAGCTTCTTGTCTGTTTGTGCCGAAGATTTTCCTATATAAATATACTGCCAATGTTAAACATAAAATAAAAAGGAAACTATTGCTAATTGGTAAGAAAGAATGCAGTTATATATGATGTTTCTTCACACTGACATATAAACAACATTAGTTTATTGGTCAATACACTAAAAATTATACACCAACAATAATCAGTACAAATGATAGTTGTTTCCGCTTCTTAACCAGACAACTTAAGATTTAAATCTTAAAAAAAAAAAATACTGTTTTCCCATCTATTTCAAAATATAGATGTCTTCATCTTTAATGATAAACATTCTTTTAACGAGACAATCATATCCTAATTATGCACAAGTAAAATTAATACGATTACTGGTAGTTATTTCTTTAAACATTTTATTTAGAGCCCAAATTTAAAATTTGATTAATTATTTTTATATACACCAAATATTTTGTCCATATAATATACTATTAATATTTTAAATTCAATAAATTTTGACAAAGCTGTTTCACAACCTCTTAACTACAAATTATTGCATATAAAAAATGCTTTTACGTAAAATAAAGATAACTAAAAATTTTGGAGGGACTATAGTAATAATTATTTCTATTATAATTTTATTTTAAAATGACATAAAAGTAAAATGAAAAACTCAAAAAATCACCCAATGAAATTTATCACTTTAAATTTAAAAGAAATAAATAATTTTTTAATGCTACAAACATTTTTTTAGGTGATTCTTTTTAGGCAATACCTTATTTTTTTTTAAGGTGATCATATATATATATATATATATATATATATATATATATATATATATAATAAAAGCATTAAATAACTTTCATTTAAAATAAAAGATATTAAAAAAATGGGAGTGAAAAAGTATAATTATGTTTCTTATTGTTGGAAAGAGAAAATTAAGAATACATAAAGAAAATGGTTGTTCTACATTTGTAGGTCAACTGTCCTTCTATGAAAAGATAAAATGACAATGTTATATATATTTTTCTGGTTAAATTATAAAAATGACAAGTAAAGCTCTCTATCATGATAAGAAAGAACAGCTAAGCCATTTCATTTATTTATTCTACCATTTATGGTTGATGCAGAGGTCAGGTATCACAATTAACATAGGATAGTTCCTCTCTCTCTCTCTTTAGGTGGATGCATACACATCCCACCTTTAATTTATATATGAAGCATAATCCTCAGCACAATCTTGAAATGAAACATTTATTACCTTGGCTACATTACCATGATATATTTACTTTGATGTTTTAATTGAACTGTGAAAGAAAATATGTTGGAAATGAAGCTAAATAAAATAATTATGTTGTTTGAACAGAAAAATGATTGTTGGCTAGAATGGTAGGTCAAGTTTTGTACAACATGAAAAGGTAAAATGACATGTATTATTAATATGATGGTAAGAAGGATAGAGCTAAGCTACCTCATCTCTATTTACATGCTACTACTTATTCTTCATATCATCAATTCTCATTATTAACAATGGACAACACAATGTCTACCTTCTCTAAATATTACCAACTGTTAAAAGAGGAGCAGATTGGAAAATTGGTTTTGTATTCAAATTAATTCTAAACTGAAAACAACAATACATAGCTGTGATAGTTCAAAATTTTACAATATATCTATTATTAATTTACTTTTGATATAAAACATTACACCAATATTTTTTTTCTTATATAAATTTATTTCTAAAAAATATATAACCAAGAATAGGTATCCATTCATTGCTTTAAATCACAAATCTGAACTGAAGATATTATAAATTTATAACTGCGACTAATTTTTATTTTTATTAATCTTTAATAATATGATCAAGTCCCTTTTGTTTTTTATTAGTAAACCAATGGATTTAGCTTCTCATTAGATGTATAATAATGAGTATGTATTAGAGGCTATTAAATAAAATTATAGTTTTTTAATTTTATTTAATCGTAATCATCAATCTATGATAAACATCAACTCAATGGAAAGGAGAGTGAGAAGAAAGCAGATTGTAATGGAGTAATGCATTGGTCATCAAAGGACACGTGTCAAGCTCAGGCATTCGACGAAGGGAGCGCGTTTCAGTGTTCCAAACTCCAAAACCTTCTCAAATCTTAAATTAGACCTCCTATTTTTGTATTTAAATTTAAACACATTTTCAGTTCATTTCATTTCAATTTCAACTCAAACTTCGCGAGTAACTTGCAGTGTATCTATCTCACACCCCCTTACTCACTCTGACATTCCGATTCCCAACAGAAGAATGCAGAGAGGCACGCCGGTGAGAAAGCCACACACCTCCACCTCCGATCTCCTCACTTGGTCCGAAACTCCTCCGCCGGAAGCCCCCGCCACCGCCTCCTCCGCCCCTCGCTCAGGCCAGGTCACTATTTTTTTACTCTCTCATTTCGCATTCACTCTCTCCTTGCACTTACATTCTCTCTCACTGCATTCAAATCGCAGCCTTCGGATAGAATCAGCAAGGTTCTCCATGGTGGCCAGCTCACCGACGAAGAAGTTCAGACGCTAGCCAAGAGGTACAACGTTAAAACCTTCATTTCTTACTCTCTGTTACATTCACGACTCAGATCAGATCTGCTATTGCTGTTTTTCTTTTCTCCATTCTTCGATCTGCTTTAAACCTTGTTTGCGTCGATCTGTTTGTTAATTTGTAATTACGGTAAACTCGTTTGTTTCTTCGGCATCTTCTGAGAGGTAATATTGTTGCTTGAGAACAATGTGATGTGCAGTATCTTGCACGTTTTAACTTATTTAGTTTTAGCTTTTAACCCCTGCTTCAGCTTGAAATGGAAAGCTTCTTTTGTGTAGTAAGGCTGATTAGTTAACTGTGTTAATCCTATTGGTGGTTGCGCTTTTTCTTGTTTGCCTATGTTTATGCGTGATTTGGTGCGTTAATTAATGATTATAGGCTATGTTTGGATAAAAAATTATTGATAAACACTTGTAAAAGAAAGAAAGGTTAACATGTATTCTACTTTTCTCAAACTAAAATCAACTAATGCATGTTAACTTTTTGGAGAAGTTAGATGAAAATTTTTTTGTAGAAAGTAAGTTTATGAGTTGATTTAAGCTTATATGTGATGCTCAATTCATTTTACCTTTTTATTTTCTTGTCCTCTAAGTGTTTATGGAAAAAAGGTATTCAGACAGAATCTTAGTAGAATGTGATTTTCATATACATGTGTGCTGCAGTATGTATTTCTTCAGGATCTACTGTTTATTTTATGTTTAATCCATTAATCGTCAGGAGATTTTTCGTTTATGCCCTTTACCTTTTAGAAATATTTTTTTGTTGAACACGTGCTTCCATTTGCCACTCTCAGCAAACCATGCTCAGGGTATAAAATGAAAGAAATGACTGGAAGTGGTATATTTGGTGCCAATGAGAAAGATTCTGCATCGGAAGCCAATTCTGTAGATTCGAATAACAGAACAAGCATACGCATATGTCAGGTATACTTACATATAATTTACTTGTCAGGGTTTCAATGTGGCTGTATGAGTATTCTAAAACATGAAATCAAACTGCAATCCGACCACAATGTTCTTGTTTTGATTTGTTTTCCCTGTGATTGCATTGCATTTCAGCAAGCGATGAATGGAATCAGTCAGATATCATTCAGCACTGAAGAAAGCATTTCTCCTAAAAAGCCTACCTCAATCCCTGAGGTAGCAAAACAGCGTGAACTGAGTGGGACAATGCAAAGTGATTCCGACTCAAAGAGTAAGAAGCAAATATCAAATGCCAAGACCAAGGAGCTCACTGGAAATGACATATTCGGCCCTCCTTCTGAAATTGTGCCGCGATCAGTGGCAGCTGCGCGCAGTTTGGAATCAAAGGAAAGTAAAGACATGGGAGAGCCTCTTCCCAGAAACGTGCGAACATCAGTGAAAGTTTCCAACGTAAGTTCTAGGCGAGAAGTAATCTCCTTCTATCATAATATACTACATGATTGGCTAATGAATTTTTTGTTACTGTATATTCCTTATAAAATGATTATCAACGTGGATTGAACAAAAGCTTCTGTGCTATTTGTCCTTTCGTGGTGATTAATTTTGACCGTTGATGGTTCTCCAATTGTAGATCATTTCAAATGTAGATCCATTATGACCTTTTCCTTTGGCAAAAATTTTATTTTAAGATATAACTCAAGGGGTGGGGTGTTACTGGAGATAATCATAATACAATTGCAGCTCTTGAGGAATGCCAAATATTTGGATGGATTTATTAAAATTTTGCTCCATATTTTTTCTTTTCTTTTTCCAACATATGAACCGGTCAAATTGATTTGAAGTTGAAGAGCACACGCATCATTGAAAAAGGCGGACAGTTCGTCTCATTGTCTTTAAAGTCTCCCTGATTGTATTATTCATTTTATAATTCAATAATGGCAAAATCTTTTTTTATTTTTTCTGAAACAAGATCTAATATCTCACTGCATGTACTTATTGAGCTCAACTTTTCATTTTAACTATGTTTTTCTTATATTTGCAGCCTGCAGGTGGCCAAAGTAATATCTTATTTGGTGAGGCACCTGTTGAGAAGACAGCAAAAAAGATACATGACCAGAAGTTTGCGGAGCTGACAGGCAATAATATTTTCCAAGGAGATGTTCCTCCAGGTTCAGCAGAAAAGCCTCTGAGCAGGGCTAAGCTCAGAGAAATGACTGGCAGTGACATATTTGCTGATGGAAAGCCAGAAATCAAAGACACTGTGCGAAGTGGTCGGAAACCCCCTGGTGGAGAGAGTAGCATTTCCTTGATTTAAGTTATTTTGACTTAACAAAAAAAAATACTGGCAATATATTCTCTAATACTTTTTTTCTGACATTTTCTATTGGTTGAAATTTACGCGAGTCTTACTAAATATGCGGGTCTCTTCCACAAACTAGCAAGACTCGCATGAATTTTTGCCAACAAAAGAAAATTCAGATAAAAGTATTAAATGGATGTTGTTAGCATTCTACTTTTGACGTGTAGGCACCCTTAAAATTTGTCTGAACTCCCATGTTTTTCAGTCGAAGCGTCAGTGTGCTCGATTATCAGTGTTGTAGGTTTCAACTGTCGATGAACATGGCAAAATCTTGCTTTACATTTGAACGATGAAAATTGAAATCGGCCACTCTTGGTCGAGGATTTAGTTGTTCAGTTCATCTTAAATATGTTCGGAAAACATAAATTATGTCATGTTTTGTTGAGTAGTTGAGGAAAGGAACACCATAGTTCATGCTGCTATCTGACTTAGAATTGACTGTAGCAATCTTCAAAGCTATTTAAAAAAAAAAAATGATAGAAATCTATGGTTTGCATGATATCTATAGGTGATTCAAAGAGCATGATAGAAATGAAATAGCAATTTTGAAGAAAATTAGAGACAAAATAAACAGAAAAACGTGTATAATTTTTGTTATTGTTAGTTTAGTTTCTTTAACATTGCATGCAAACTTGGTAGGCCTATTTCTCTTCTGCGGCTTAGAGATCATAATCTGTAAGTTGAGGTTTATGTATTTTTCCGGTGCAAAAAGTTGAGGACGTCAAAAAACGAACTTCTCATCCATCCTGTACCGCGTTTGGAAGTTTCAAATAATAAAGTATTTTCCTAAATGAATCACTATAAATCATTAAATATTTAAAAGATCCAATATTCATATTTTCTAGTATAATGAAATCACTAAATATTGCACAATTTATCTACTCTATCAGAACATAATTATTATTATTTAAAAAATTGAAATCGTTTAGTATTATTACGTGATTCTCCTATGGATATATGTAATTTTAACACTTTCAAAATTTAATTTTAGAAGTGTGATAGAGTTAACACTTCCGGAAATTATGAAAAAAAAAATTGAAATTTAAGGCGTCAAGGTTTTATACTTTTAAAGTAAAAACAAGAAATAAAAGAACAAATCCAATTAATACGACTCCACTGGGGATCGAACCCAGAATCTCTGGTTCCGTAGACCAGCGCCTTATCCATTGGGCCATGGAGTCATCGTCGGTAAAATTTCTCCAAGTACATAAATAACAAACGTAAGATTTAGTCATGGCCGCGTGATCACCAAGTCAAGCTGTATGGCTTTTGGGTCAGCATCTGCATAGTTCGTTCGGTGACACAAGAAGCAGAAAGCTGTGGTGCACCAACTAAATCCACCACTTAGTTCTCTTGTTCTCAAGTGTGCCGTATAAACAAGGACAAAATCCCATGTTTCTGAAGATACCAGGTTTTGCGTTCCATAAGTAAAAATGAGAAAAAGGCAATCTTTGCGCAACAAAGCGACCCACTTTGTTTCTGTCCTTCTCAACCCCATCTCTGATTCCGACACTACCAAACCCTCCAAACACCCTCCAACCGCTCCAACACCAACACCTCCTTCTGTAAGTTTTCTCTCTCTTTCTTAACCCATGTTGTCTTCATATCTTGTCTCTCAGCAATGTTTGCTTATTTACCTAATTAAGTTTTCATCTTATCCTTGCTCCACTTATGTTAGATTTATTTTTTCTCTTTTTTTTTTTTTTTTAAAGTAAGCCTTGTTTTTTTTGCTTCAAAGTAAGTTTTGGTGTGCATTTTGTTTTGTCTTAGGGAGAAGTAGGTGGATCAGGGACAAATGTTGAAGAGAGTAACCTTGGTTTAGCTGATGGGCCTGATACTTCGTCCTTCACTGCGTTTCTCTATTCTTTATTGTCTTCCTCTGACACTGGAGATAATGCAAGCTCGCACGTGCAGAGTGATGATGACAAAGGTGCTGCACCTGATCACAGCCCTTTACCAGACTCGTTGCTGAAGGAAAATGGTGGGAGGAAAAGTTTGTTTTCCAAAAGCAAGCTATCACTTGGAAGAGCCATTCGCAGAATGGGTGGAGTTCGCCATCATGGTCGCAGGGATAATCTTGAAATGAAATTGGATGACGGGGGTGGTTCTAAGGCTGCTGGTGTTGTTGAAATGAGGCGTATTGAACCTGTGGAAGAATCTCTGACTGTGCCTTTGGTTGATCTTCCAGAAATTTCTGAGCCATCGGTTCTCCTTTCAGATAGTATAAGGAATGTTCTCTATGTTTCTCTTCCACCCCTTGTTCACGGAAGGAAATGGCTGCTATTATACAGGTATCTAATATCTATCAAGGTTCATTGGCAGACACAAGAATTCGTGCATTCTGCTCTGAAGTTCTTAATCTTGCTATGGATAAATTTATTACTGTTATTATTAATTGGAGTACTATCATTGTTGTAATTTCAATACATTTTTTGCAGCACTTGGAGACATGGTATATCACTTTCCACTCTTTACCGGAGAAGCATGATTTGGCCTGGATTGAGTTTGCTGGTACAGCTTGCTTATCGTTCAGCTGATATCAAGCATGCATTTATCTCTATATCTGATCTAAATTAGAAAATTGAAAAGAAGGTCAAATGCTAAATGGTGCTTGAATATTATGTAAATAGTTTTTATGCTGTAATCAAGAATAGCACGCAGTTGCGTAAGGGGTCTACCTTTTCTCTTAGATTTATGAGTTTAATGGTTAAACAAGTTTATGCTGGCAAATTGTACGGCAACATCTAGGTAATTCCCATGCTATATGGTGGATTGTAACCTTCTATTAGTCTTTTCTGAGTTGAAATTGTTATATTCATTATTCTGTTCTTCAATATTTTGGGAGAACTACTTTATTCCAATCATGGATTAGTTCTCATGGTCATATATTCCATTCTAGATTGTTGGAGATAAAAGAGGAGCAGTATTTGGAAGCATGGTTGAGGCACCTCTCAGATCATCTACCAAGAAAAAATACCAGGTCACATAAAAAGTCATTTTATCCTCTATTCCTAATCATCATGTAATAGACTGATACGTTTCCTGCAATCGTCCTGCTTGTTATTTCATTGCGTTGACAATAGATTTTGTACAGGGAACAAACAATACATTCGTTTTCACAAATATCTCTGGTCAACCTGTTATATATCGTCCAACAGGTATCTAAATCCGTATCTCTGGTTTCTTTCTGTAATAATCATTCAGAATTTTGCTAGCTATCAAAATCAGAGATTATTTGATCTTCATTGTTTTTCTAGCTGTAGGGAATGAGGAGATAAACTATTTGAAGTTGATGTACTGTAATGAATGGTGATAAAAGTTAAATGATTCAACGTTTCGTTTTGGTTTTGTGGTTCATATTTTGGTAGAAATGTTAAATGAAATACATTTTATTTCAAAGCTACTATCATATTATTTTTGTAGAACAATCTGGCTTTTTACCAGAGTCAGATCCCTTTGAGGGGTGCTTGATTTTGCTTTTCTTTAGATATGCCATAATATTACTGGCTGCATTAAGTGATTAACTTGGCAATGAGATTTATTTTAATTCCATGATACTTTCCTATTCATCTAATATATATGATTCACACACATGACCACAATATTTTCAGGAGTAAACCGCTATTTCACACTTTGCAACACTGACTACTTAGCAATTGGTGGAGGAGGTCATTTTGCACTTTATTTGGATGGTGATCTGTAAGAACTCTCTACTTTCATTGTAAACCTTTTCCAAATCTGTGTGTGCTAGCTTGCTGAATCAATATCATCAGCCTGAATTTTGTTTGTTTTTTATTTTTCAACCTCTTCCTACTTGAAGATTGAATGGTTCAAGTTCAGTCTCAGAAACTTATGGGAATCCTTGCCTCGCAAATTCTCAGGACTTTGAAGTGAAGGAAGTAGAGGTGCACACGAAGTTTCTCCTCCCTCTCATTGCACACATCCCACACAACCTTTGTTTTATGCTAACTACTTGTTCAACACGCGTATAGGAGCAAAATTTACATACAATACAGTTTTGTGATGTTCTCTTATCAGAATTGAAGTTTTATTTTGGTAATTTGCATCATAAAAGTCTGTATAGAAAGACTTTGCAGATTATCAAGGTAAAACTTCAATTCTAATTGGTTAAGAGAAAAAAACTACTATTGTCTAAATTTTATTTCATTTATGAATGAGCAAGTTAATTGGTCTGTCATTCATGCAGTTATGGGGCTTTGTATATGCTTCAAAATATGAGGAAGTGCTGGCAATGAGCAGAACAGAAACACCTGGGATCTGCCGATGGTAAATATTTATATATTTCCTGATGTGAATCAAATGGTTTGCTCTTGGCATTTCATTGAGTGACCACTTTCCCTCTGGCTTCTAGTGAAGTGAGCAATGCGAAGTACATATTACGATATAATGGAGACATTTTATGTATCCAAATATGTTGTGACTAGCAACTAACCTATGTGTAAATATTACCAAAGCCTGTACATATGGGAGTCCCTACTCATAAAAAAATGTTTGTCAATTTTGTTCAGAGTATATGGTGGAGCAACTTTTTATATATTTCTTTGCTTTATTTAAGCAGATGATAAAAAAACAAGAAAGAACTCTACGATATGCCCTTGTGTCCTGAGACTAAAAGCGAAATGCCGAAGAAAACATGTTATTTTACAGGTACAACAGCCATGAATATAACTAAAATCTGCTGTAGGGTTCTAAAGCTTTATTGTTGAAATACATTGTAAAAAATAAAGGCTAAATTAATTTGTAAACTCCTTGTTTTTTAAACAATTCTCAAACAGGCCTACCACGGGAAACGGGTTAATTGTTTTTTCTTAAAAATACTAATGTCTAATCTAGTTAAAAATATTCAATTGAACCCTTCTATATAACAAAGTTTTAATCGAAATGTGATCAAAAGGACTAAATAGTGATTTAAAAACATAGACTTAATAGCAAACAAAACATAGATATTTATTACAAACAAAAACAACAAAGTTCAAGACCTACATATTAATTTAACCTACAAATAAAAACAACCCCCAGTTCTGATTAGTTTATTTTACTAGAATTTAAAGTCCCACTTTGACAATTGTTGCGTACATTGTTTTTTTTTTTTTTTTGGACAAGCCACTATGGACCTTTTAAAGGGGTCCATTTTTGGGCTCTTCAAGTTTGATATCCTCTACATCCTGATAAGAAGCTTCATGGACACCAAGCGCGGCACGACCAGAAGGGTCAAGATTTTTGGACCATGCTGCATCCCATTCCACAGCTTTTGCAGTACTGCATGCCACACTAGGACCTCCTGGAACTGTTGCCCTTGCAGCATTCTGTTAAAATGATTAAACATTATCATTGGCAGGTATAGAAAGATTTCAATTTTAAACACATAAATCAATGTGTGCATATCTTTTACGTGCATCATGGTCAAGGTTCTGAGATGACACAACACATGATATGAAAATTTATAATAGTAAATAGTCTATATGGTCATAGAGTAAGACTTTTTCTATTATTGACTTTTACAGCAGTTAATTTAAAAGTCATACTTCTAATGATTTGTAATTGGTTAATAGTGTATAAAAGTTAAGCTCAAATTATAATTGTTTAAAACAAAACTATAGAATCCACCTTTGGAAAGAACTTCTCAAATATTGTCCTGTAGAGGTATCCTTCTTTTGTTGTAGGAGTGTTCTCAGGGTAAATAAATTTGGCAGCAAGCATCGTTGCATCAGGGACCTGGTCATTTATCAAGAGTTAATTAGAACTTTTGGCATTACTTAAGAAAACATCACAAGTAAAACCTACTTGTTTGTCAGCGTGATCCTTAAGGGCATCAATCCAGCTGTAACCAACCCCATCACTGAACTGTTCCTTCTGCCTGTACAATATGTGCTGAAGAAACAAGGAGAAAATAAAAAAGAACTACTTCTGAAATCCTTCAAGACATAAGAACAATCATGATGCAGTAGTTGAGACAAACCTTTGGTAAATATGGATTCTTTTCATCATCAAATGCATTGCGTAATACCCACTTCTCTATCCTTCCAAGATCACGCCTTATCTGCGCAATTTGTCATAAGTTTCATAAAGTGATTGAAAATAAAGTCAACGAGATTTACTTATTACAAGCCGCAAAATCAACCAGAATAACTTCTTAAAGCCGTAAAATTAAGATAACCAGAAGAAACAAACTTGAAAATTTAAACTAAAGGGAAAAGGTTGAAATGGCCTTATAATTTGTTTAGTAGTAAGGTACACAATCTAAATAATGCAGACAGATGCAAAACTTGAAAAAAAAAAAAAAAAAACATGGAGGTACATATCTTCTAGACAATATTTTTTCGCTAGAGGGACTGAAAAAAATAACTAATGTTATTTGATAGAATATAAATTTCTATATTTAATAAAAGAGAGAGCTGTATGAACAAAATCACTAGAATTTTGTAGATAAGTGGGGAAATAAAGCTCTCACCTTCATAACCTGTTCATAATAATTAACTGTAAATATATTATTTCTAAGTATTTATAAGGAATTCTATTCCTGGGAATTCACAAGAAAATAGTCAAGTTAGGTATGAAAATTTTCATTATTAAATATCACCTAAAAATATCATTTCGATAATTAAATAAATGTGTATTAAAAATAAAAAATGTTTGGGGAGCCACGAAGTCAAGTTGTGAAGATCCACCCCACTAAATGCACATGCAGGCAACCCAATTCATAAGATAGGCTTGAACAGCTATGCAGCTTAATAATATGAAAACAGAAAAAATATGTAAATACCATTTTCCACTCCGGATCTATATCCATCGCTACGTCGATAAATTCTTTATCCAAGAATGGTACACGTGCCTCTACACCCCATGCTGCAGTCGATTTATTTGCTCTCAGGCAGTCATAAAGATGAAGAGCTTTAATCTGTCAACTCATCAAAGCCATTAAAAATTGAATGAACAAGTAATGCATAAAAGGAATAATGATATAACATATATATTTTAAGCACATAAAACTTTGCAAAATAAATTAAATCAAACAGAATTACATAACAATTATTGCACATTACTTTTCGACACGTTTCTTCATGAAACTCTTTCTTGTTAGGAGCCTTATGAAAATACAGATAACCTCCAAATATTTCATCTGAACCTTCTCCAGAAAGAACCATTTTCACTCCCAAGGCTTTAATTTTCCTGGACATAAGAAACATTGGAGTACTTGCTCTGATAGTCGTTACATCATATGTTTCAATATGGTAAATGACTTCTTCAAGTGCATCTATACCTTCCTGATACATCAATATAAAAGATTGCTTTTGAGTTGCAATAGAAAACTCATTATAAAAAAATTAAAATGAAGAGATTGTGAGAAATAATCACCTGAACCGTGAAATAAAGTTCGTGGTGACGAGTACCAAGATAATCTGCTACCTCTTTTGCAGCTTTCAAGTCCGGAGAGCCCTGATGGGAAAGTCAGACCATGAAGAATATAAAAGCCAGTACACTAGCTTCCTTGCGTTAAAGAAGGATAGCACAACTCATTCTGACCTTTAAACCGATGCAGAAAGTATGCAACTGTGATCCCCATTGTCGAGCTGCATCAGATTCTGCCAAATGACGATTGACCACAGAAGCAACAAGTGATGAGTCCAATCCTCCGGACAAAAGAACTCCAAAGGGTACATCAGTCATCATTCTCTTAACTACAGCCTGCATGATATACAGTGAAACCATGTCATTAGTTAGTATGTGACTCCATTAAACCAAAGGAAACGCCGCAGAGAATGGACGAATGATCACCTAAAGTTCCACAAAGAGCTGTACAATGCGTGAATAATTTTTCAAGCAAATGCAGTAGTGAGTTTTCAGAAATGGAAAGACAAATATACCATGATTTACAATAATAGCCTACCCTCTCGAAGGTCTTACGCAGAAGTATTGGATCATACGGAGTTGATGGAATATCCTCTGAAAACCATGGTGGATTGTACCACCTTCTTAATCCTCCTGCAAATATAAAAAACTTTAGGTACAAGTGGTACAGTATCTGCATGTAAAAACGTGGGAATTACAAGAGTCATAAACAGAGAAGAGAATAAATGACATTATTGATACCCTGTTTGCTGGAATATATATGCCCTGGAGGAAATGACATGAATTTCTCACAATCATCACTCAGAGCTTTCATTTCAGATGCAAACCATGTTGATCCTGCAAATAAACCATCCCCTCCATAGATAACACATCTAATCCGTTCACGTGATTAAAAAAGAAAAGAACAACCATGCCAAGTTACACCAAATAAGACATGCATATCGTAGTAGATAAGAATATAAATTTTCTAACAAAAAATTATTCAAGTGCAGAATAAAAAAGATGAATATGTGAGGGAAAGAAAGAGACACTTCTTTTATTCGCCCTAGAAAAACTAGAATATGTTCCAAAATGTAAGAAGCATAGGAGGATATAGTAAAGTCATAATAATGCTTGACAGAAATTTGTAATGGAGAATTTAGCCATAATTTATATGAAATTACCACAATGGGATTAAATCGTAGTACTTCACGTGAGTGAAAAAAAATCCAAGAGCTGGGAAAATGAGGGTAAACAACATCAAATTTATTGTGTTATTTATACCATAAAAGAACATGTATACATAAAACAAAATAAAAAAAATGGAGTTGAAACTCAGATTCTGTAGGAGTTTTTACTATAACTGGGAGTTCAGTTGTAGGAGATTTGGAGCGATAGGGATGGCATACATGATGCATTTATCCCACTTTATTGAAAAAGACAGTTAGCATATCCACCTCAGTAAGTACAAATTCATGCTTCGCTTGGATTTACTTAACTTGAACTATAGCTAACACTATTTGAAAGGTTAAACACCATCCAGATTAAAGTGAAGATGTAAAAGTGTTATAAAAGCAGAAGGTAAAGCCACATACCATCATGACCCCATCCCAAATAAAGAGGGGTAATGCCAATAGCATCACGAGCAGCAATAAAACTTTTATCACGAGTATCAAGAAGAATAAAGGCGAACATCCCATCCAGCATGTTAACAAATTCCTCACCATATTCTTCATACTGACATTATAATTACAACAAAACGAAGATTCATGATTTATGGGAAAATGGTAGATTGATTACCAAATGTTATAGCTGATTCTCAAACACTTACAAGATGGGCAATCACTTCACAATCACTACCAGTTCGAAATTGATGGGAACTCAGTTTCTCTCTCAATTGCTTGTGGTTGTATATCTCCCCATTTACCTAATGGCGTAGTTTCAACAATATGTGATATGAGCAAAAGCAAATATCTTGAACTAGATCAGTATGTGTCATGAAAATTTAAGTGAACAACTACAATGAGAGATATCCAAAACATAAAAAGATTGACTAAAATTGTACTGAGAAACGCCTTATAGTGTCAGCATTCTCATTGATGTTCAACAATACAAGTATGGGGGATTTTGGTATAAATTGTTTGCGTGTCCTGTTAACAATTGCTCTAAAGGCATTAGCCCAAGAATCAATAAATAAAAAGTTTTATTAGGAGAGTGCATTGGTACACTTCTCAATAAAAGAGTTCCCCTTTCGATTCCTTAACAATTGCCTGAAGGGCACTGATTAACGTTTTCCATTGTTTAAAATATCATATTTGCTAGGTTGTCGGGCTAGGTAATAGACCAAACTACAGACAAAAGCAAAACAGCAATCATGTAAGTGCATCCCTTTTAACCATTTCCAGAAAACAAACAAAGCATTGTATAAAGATATGAATATTCCCCAAAAATGCACATATATTTTATAATGGAACAATGACACGTACAGTGACAATAACAGTCTTGTCTTCGTTGTACAAAGGTTGATCCCCCGAAGTAGGGTCAACAATAGCGAGCCTTTGATGAGCAAGGTAACAATCATCATGGCAATGTATGCCACTCCAATCGGGACCTCTGTGCCGCAGCCTACATTTTTCAATTCCATCGCAACCACGCACAAATCAGAAAAGAGAGAGATTATTTGTTGCCTAGAAAACTCAATTTAATTAACAAAACAAACATAGCCTAGTATTAAGAAATCGTTCTCAAGCGGTAACATATAATTTACTAAACCAGGAGCAAAATAAAATGGTGAATTTTTATTTTTTTTTGCATAAAGTTGAAAGCAAAAACGATTAGTGGGAGAGGAGAAAGATAAAGGAATGCGTGTGACCTGCGAGACAATTCGATGATGCGAGCGCGCTTGGCCTGAGAGTTGTCGACGCAACCCAACACTGCGAGGATTCCGCACATGGCGGCTGGGATAAAAACTCAAAGACAATGGAATACACAACTCAGGGTAAAGTGATAGGTTTCAGTATTTATTTTATCACGTGTAATGTTTATGGTCATTTTTTTCCTGTTTTTTAATATTTTTATATCTAGCAGACTGTCAGAACTCCGAAGATTCTCTCATATTTCTCTGTTTTATATTTTCCAGCTTTTATTAAGTATCTATTTTTCTTGTCATATATGCTAGAGAAGAATCTTGTGTTACTAGGGCTCTTGTCAGCACCAGATTCCACTGCGGATTCCTTTTCGACTGTCTCCTCCTTTATAATCCAAAAGTCAAATTTAGTGGGATGAAGAGAGGGCCAATACTTCGGATGGAAGGTCATAGAATAAACAATAATTTATAATCAAATTATACAATGATATCATTAATTCAATACTAGAAGTTTTAAAATCAAATAATTTTAACCCAAAGTCTAATAGTTCTGCAGCAAATTAGATTTTTGGTGGAAGTAATATTTGATCAAATTTAACTTATTTTTACATCAGAAATTAGTCCAAACATCAAAGTTTTTTAAAGGTTTGGAATAACATTACTTATATTTAGTCTTAGTTTTGATTGGATGACTCCCATGTCTTTTCTTAAGTGGGTAGTAAAGTTTTAGGCTTATGTTTAAATACACATTCAAATGTACAATATAAAGTTCAATTTATGAAAAAATGTATACATTATAACCAATAGTTTCCGAAAACTCCTACATATCATCCAACTGAACTCATGACAAAAAACAATTTGAACTGATTGTGTGCATTTTAAATGTGCCCAAACGCACACTTGCTCATTTTACAAAGGTTGTTTTTTTCAAAGAAAAGAACAACATGGTCTATAGAAATCGAAGCCCAATTTACAGGGCACATATCTATAAGACGGGCCTGTGAAAATTGGGTTTCGGGCTCGAAAAGGAAATGAGCATGTAGCTTAGGATTTCATGTCAGGGCAAAAATCCAGCGGGGAATGTTTTGAGAAGTTTGTGCTGTGAGTTGAGAGCGACCATGGGAAGGAGGGTAGTGCAGTTCGCAGACCTACCCATAAAGCTTTTGATGCCCAAAAGCTTCACAAAAATCCAAGAAATCGCACTCAAGACCATTCCTTCGGCCTCCAAGATCGAGATCGAGATCAAGCGCGTCCTCAAATCCCTCTATGGCTTCGAGGTCGAGAAGGTTCAAACACTGAACATGGAGGGCAAGAAGAAGAAACGGGGCGGCTTGTTAATTACCAAACCGATTACAAAAAGGCCTACGTTACCCTCAACAACAACCCGCTCTCTATTTCGCGGATCTCTACCCGATCCGAATTATCGAGGAGGACAAGAAAAGGGTCAACAAGCAAAACAAGCAAAACAATTTTAGCCTCGAAGAAGAGGCCCAGACCAGGAGCCACTGGCTCGATGACAGGAAGGAGGCCCAACATCCATTCAGGGCCCAACACCATGAACGTTTGGACCGGGCTGAGATTGCTGCCGCTAATGCTAACTTCCCTTGGTCCAGCATGAGGTCTGGTAGAACTACCAGGTAGTTATTGTGGTTGATTTTAGGTTTTGGTAGTGGCTAATAACCTGTTTGGTCTATTCTAGAACGCAGAATCCAACAACTTTATGTATGAATATAATAACAATAAAATTTTATTTTTTTATATTTTATTAATTTGGGGTTGATCAATCAATGTTTGAGAATTGAGGTATCTACCTATCAACGGACAAATTTTCATGTACTGTGATTAGAATATTTTGAACATATTTATCACCTGAAAATTCAGTAACAAGGAACTTTATATTTAGCGTTATTTTGATTGGTGTAATGGATGATACTGTAACAAATGATGTTGTTTTTATTTGTTGACTTTTGACCTTCATTTTTTAACGCTAAAAAGTAAACAAGGTTGGGAACAAAACTGATCTCATAAGCCAAGTCCATTAGAGCGGGTTTCATCATTAAGGTGAAATAATTATTTCTCCTCATGTCTTTCATTTATTAGTACAAACAGGTATTCCTGTGCGTTTGTTTCCACGTTTCTAGTAAGTCAACATAACATGGCTTTAAACAAACTTAAAAAAGGGTAATTTGGTAATAGTGGATTGTGCGGAGAAATAAAAAAATTGATTAGTGTGTGGGAAAAACTGCTCTAACCCATCAAGAGGGGAATGAAGAAAATAACGAAATACTTATCTTCAAAAGAAGAATTTATGTCTGTTGTGAGTGAATATGGCTACTTATCTTAAAAAGAAGAACTTGAAATCATATCAAGAAAATATTTAAAATAAGAGTATGAGATGTACGAATATGACAGAGTCAATTAGATATCTACTCATAAGCTTACATGAACGGGAAAAATAAAGACAAAAATATAAATAAACAAGTTCATAATAAGATTATGAGATGACTAAATCGATAAAGTCTTTCTTCGTAAGCTTATATCAAGATAAAAAACTGTATAAAAAATTTTAAACCTTAAAATAATTATTGCATCTTTTAATAAACATTACTTAAGGCATCCAAGGATGTCTTTAAAAAAAACTACTCCATAAGAGGAGAGTAAAAAAAATTTACTCGGATGGGGAAAGAGAAGGATAAGGGAAAATTTGAAAGTGATTCTCTTATTCATGAAGATAAATTTATACGAGAGAGAGAGGGATAAAGAGAAGGAGGAGAGGGAAGTGAAAAGAGAGAAGTGAAGAGAAAGAAGGGGAGACGACTTCGAGGAATCTCATCATCTTATTATGAAATTGTTTGTTTATATGTTTGTCTTTTGATGTTCATAGGAGATGTCTAACGAGGCTTTAACAAATTCATATATTTCATAATCTTATTTTAAATATTTTTTTATTATAACCAATTTTATCTCGGACAATATTCATTTAAACTAGTCTGATTTCATCTTCTTATTTTTAAGCTAAATAATTACATTGACTCGTAAAAGAAATAAAAAGTTATATTATGTTTTGATTTATTTTTATTTATTTATTTGTTATTTTCTTCTTTTTCCCCTATCATGGGATGAGAGCAGTTTTTTCCCTAGGTTTCATTCCCCCGTGGTTTGTGGGGAGAAATAAAAAAATTGATTAGTGTGTGAGAAACACGTCAGTTTCTAAATCATTCATAATTTGTTGTTTTTTTAGTGGAGGAGTTATGCGGCTAATTTTTAGTAGATAATAAAATTTTTATTTCATAAAAGAAGATTAGTTTAATTAAAAATATGTAAGAAACTTTAATTTAAAAAAGTGTCTTTGGATTATAATGACTAATAGAAACACATGTGTACTCATTTTTATCATACTGTTTTGTTTTGATCAGTTAAACTTTAATATTTATATTAATTTAAATTTTATGTCTATATTTATAAATAATACACATATTCTTTTATTTATTTGATTTTATTTATTATATAAAAGTAATAATTTAGTTAAATATGTATTATTTCGTGTCTTATCAAAATATCCAATTAAAATATGTGACGTCATTAAGAAGATTTTGAGGAGTGATTATTAGTGGTTATTTAGAGAAGTTTTTTGATAAATAGTAAAATAATTATTTAAAGTTTAAAAAAGATAATTATTTTAAATTAAATTTCTTTTATAGATATGGATATAGAAGATGTATGAAACAGTTATATTTTGTAATGTGAAAAATATTTTTGTTTTCTATTAATTAGTAGGAGGTTATTTCTACATGTGCTATTTATTGGTTAGTATTAGGGGAAATAAACAGCTATATTCTATATTTGGAAGATATTTGTTGCATATAATTATAGGAAAATAGAACAGTTAGGGGGATGCGCGTTTCACTATTTCTGCAGTGTTGAAAGAAGGAAACTCCTGTTAAGCTTCTGTTCTTCAAATTCCGGTTAATTCCACACTCGTACCAGTAAAATTCTATAATTTGTTCTGTAATCTCGAGTCAAACATCCTGTGTCTGAATTTCAATTCATGATCTATCTTACAAGATTTTTCTCATATTTTTTTTTACATTTGTACAAGTTTCATCTCCGTGTATATTATCTCACGTTAACCCACAATTGCAGCCTTTATTTTGGAAGATTGCTGCAGCCTTGCCGGGTATGGAATCACTTCCTTCTACAAAACAGGAAGCGTGGTTGATGTAAATTTAAAAATCCCGTGAATTCATTCCAGAAAAAGGAGCAAGGAGAGGTTGCTCTTGCTAAAGAAATGGTATTCATAAAGTGCCGATCTAAGTATGTTAACTTACCATCACAGGGCTACTAAAATGGAAAGTTGCAGCTGAGGCAGACATGCTTTCATACCAATATCCGTCAGTGTTTAGTTGGGGCAGAGGTTTGCAGTAACGATTTCTATGTAGATAATTGATAATTATTTATTTCATTCATTTATGATAAAGTTGGACCCTTTTTATGTACGAATGCAGTTTATATAGTTGTATAAAAATCGTTAAGTAGATGACGTAAGAGACATCGCTGATTTTTAACTCACTAGATGTAAAGATAAAGGATTCAAACTGGAGCTTTGTTGGAATGGAAACATTTTCAGACAACGAAATGGACCCAAAAGATAGATATATATTGATATCATACTTGATTGCAGAAACTGGACCTGTCAAAACTGCTTATATAACAATGTAGATCTGTTCAATTCAGACAAAGTTCTACAGTCTTTTGGAACTATAAACAAATGAGATCTGTTATTCTATCTTTCTGGCTTCCATAATTGACTCTGAACAATGACGAAGATATGATCACAGGTCACAACCACTCCACAACGTTCGTTCCCTCCTGCATCTTCACACCATTTACACTACCTTTTTTGAATTAATGGTCTTTGTTTGGCTCCTTGGCTTAATCATTAGATTGTACTGATGATTTGGCAGATAAGTCAATAAATAAAATAGGGAGTTTTAAGACAAGCGCTACTATATTTGTGCCAAATAAAATTTCCTAGATTCTAATCTTCAACATCACAAGCAGCTCTATTACAATTCAAGGGGCAAGTTTAAAATAAACAAGCATAGAAGCTTAGAAATCTAAAAACAGGGTGTCCAAGATTGGAAGTTCAAATAAGAGCAAACCCATCAGCCCTCTGCCTAACTCTCAATGTCAGATATATCAACACCAATGTTCCGAAACTTGACCTGCGAGGTAATTGATCAATTTCACGAATGGTTAAATATAGAATGAATGGGAAAAGCACAATTGAAAAGAAACTGATATAGATAGAAAATAGACAAAATCAGTATCAGTTAGTAATTATTTCAGATAAGGTATATTCCCAGTTGGAGCTCAGTAAATGTTTAACAAAAGTTGAATACAATTTCGATTTTCTGTATCAGACAGGGAAACCAGTTATACACCATCTATAGTTGTCTTATATGTACCTGCACTAAATGTGTAACTACATCTACTTTTCATAATATAAGCTCTTTATATGACAAATCAAAGCCTAAAAGGGTGGAAAACACAAACACTCAACTGAGTAGATCAGTTGTTCCGAAGCCATGGATAAACATAGCACCTAAAACATGACATGTGAATGATGGATACCGATGAATGATTTATAAATTTACCCAAATTAGTAACATCCGTGCAAGTAACATTGATTAGACTAGGAATGATTTTGAGTGTACTCGACTAGTTAAGTGCTCTTTTCATTGATTGGGGTTTCCATAATTTAACATATATTTGACAAACAATTAATTGGGAAATTTTTACCTTCAACGATTCACATTTTTGTATTCTTGAAGTGGCCTGCATCTCTCATGCATAAACTCCGAAAATCACGAATATGCAACGCAGAGCAGCAATTTGCCCTCTTTTTACCATTCATTAGGTTTTAAAGAATAGGTATAATATTGGCAAGCTAATATCAATCTTTCTATGGTCAACTTGAAATTTATGTAAACATACAGAAAAAAATTAAATAGTTTATACAACTTTTGTATTTTCATCATGAAGCACAACAGATATCTAATATATTTTTCAGATTTAAAATAAGAATTGGTATACTATTTCGTTATAATCATGAAAAATATTACCCATTATAACAGAATATTTATATAAAATATTTTACCAGGAATTGTAATAGAATATTCTCATGAAATAACAACTAAAATTTTAGTATTGAAGAACAATTTTAGTACATAAACTTAATTTGGTTATCATACATTAAAATTATTATTGAATTAATCTATCTTACCATATAGTTGTGTTAAATTTTGCTGAAGTGTGTAACAGGAAGCAATATTATTTTCTTGCAAACTTAATTTGGTCATCATACATTAAAATTATCATTGAATTAATCTATCTTACCATATAGTTGTGTTATATTTTGCTAAAGTGTGTAACAGGAAGCAATATTGTTTTCTTGCAAATTTTCTTCCAATATAAACCTTTTAGTTAGCACTAAGCTCACAGGTCTAGTTAATGAAATCTTTTTAATTCAATAATAATAAATTCATAAGGCCATATGAGTAGAGCTGCTATTCTAAATGTCAAGCTTTATTGTTCAATATACTAGAACTTACAATATTGAAAACAGCAGAGCAACTTTTCGTGAATCAAATGAGGCAGCACGCTTATATCTTCTCCATCTGTTATTCGGTAAATCATGTAGCTTCTCAGAGACTGGTTTATCTGTAAAGTTGCAAAATACAAAAGTTAAAAATGCATCTAGATCACCAACCTAATCAATTCAAGAACACAAAAATGTAAGAGTGTTTGATCAAGTATAAGAAGGGAGTAATTGGTAGTTTGAACATGACAAAATGGGTGTAAGATAAAAAAGATAAGGAAATCTCAACTGATATAGTACAGCAGATTTGTGAAGGCATCTCGAAGTAACTAACCATGGAAGGAAAAAGAACTATGCGGGACAATTTGAATTTTGAATGATACCCTTGTCTTCAAGTTAAACATATCTATTCTTAACTATGGTATTTCATATGTTTGGTCAATTGCATAAAGCAATGTCAGTACAAAACCCACTTATATTTTATTGCTTTGCTTTTGAGATGACAAGCAAACCTGAAATCGTGTAGTTGATTGACAGGACTAGTCAAGAATATCAAATTGGCTAACAATATGTTTCATTTGTGTTTAGACTTTTGAATGACATAAAGTAGAAAGTTCTCCATCCCATGGTACACAAGAAGATAGAACTATTTATCAAAATGTTATATGCATATATTTCTCTTGTCAGGCCACCTATCTGTATTGCATGGGATAATACTTCCTTCAGCTCTAAACTATTCTTATTTAGAAAATCATTATCTCCCTACTATCTAATCATATCCCGTAAAAGAAAAATATACAAGCTTAGCTGTTTTGAAAAACATTAAGGAACCCAAAAACCAGACATACCTCTTGGATTGCTGACATTCACCAGACTCTGCATAAGTTTTCCTCCCTTGAAACTTGATTCTCTCCACAGTACACTCTGCAATATTTTAAAATATCAATACTCATACACGGTGACATGTGTGTATGTGTGTGTGTGGGGGCTTATAAGGGTACCATATCCACAGTTAATTAGAGCTATCTGTTATGTGATATCTTAAAAAACAACAGTCAAGAAGATGAGTTTATGAGACTTACAGTCGGTGAGTTCCCAGTTTTAAAACATTCAACTGCCTCTTCATAGGATTCAGGTGAAACTGAATTTCCATTCACACTAGGGATATCAATCGTGCACTGGGAATAAACATCCTCATTCTTCATTTGAAAATCGATGCAGTTTTGGCAATTTAAGGGAGAATCTAAGCACATTGGACTTTTAGCTTGATTAGGAACCTCTAAGATGCTTACGAAAGCTAGTGGTGAAGCACAGTTTTTGTTTCCACCTTCCTCAGGCAACACAGAAATACTATAAACATCTCGAGCCTGCTAGAAATGTAAGCGCATCAGTTTATAAAATATCATATTTTTAGCTACTTCCATAGAACCATTTGTCATAAAAATGGTCAAGTGGTTCAAAATTCAAATATGAAAGGAAATTAATATATTGAAAAAACATTTGATTTTAGTTATATTTGTCCTATGTCCTTTTTGACAGTAAGTGAAAAAGAAGCTTCATTGACTACAAGGAATCTAGGTAAAAACGTTTTTTTTTAAAATCAGGATAGATGAGTATACCAAAATAATCAATGTGAAACATGATTGCATAAAAGATTTTGATCCTCTCTCCAAAATCTTATGGTTCTCTCAGTAACACAAATTGTTACCAAAAACATAGGGTAAACATGCATCTCCTACACCCTGGACCCCTCAATACTTAAATGCCAAATGTCACAAATTGATTTGGTTTCTCAGCAAGGCCGCCAAGAAACTTTGAGCGTGTTTGGTTTTCCGTCACGTCACATCTTTCATGCCTCTACCAGAAGCACCATATTATAGCTTATTGTATACTGATGCAAATTAACGGGATTGTTGCTATACATGCATGTTGGACATGTAACCAAACATGCACTAAGCTGAATTTAATGCACTGTTTTTTTCCAATTTCCACTCTAACCAAACACATTTATAGATGATAACCGTATTACAAACTCATTACCACCATTAAGCCACAAAAGATTCCTTAAACAAAGAAATTAATTGAAAAATCGGTAAAAACAAACAGTAGATCACTGCATGAGAAAGAAGAACCAACATGTGAACTGTGCAGTCCAGCTGGAAGTGAAGACTCTTCAAACAGAATCGGCGAAATCTCTGAAGTGGAGAAAAAAAGAAAAAGTGTAAAGAGCCATAAAAATTAAAGACATGTCTACAGCATACAACATTACTAAATGATCTAATTTATTGCAATTACCTAGAGGATAATGTCGGTTAAGATCCTCACTAATCGGTTTTTTATGCAACTTCACACCAACAGCCACGTTTCCATTCCCGTCGACAAACTCTCGAATTTGATGTTCTTTCTGCAACCAAGCCACAAGCAAAGATGAAAAGAAAAGAAAACAACCAAATCTCAATTAACAACTCATTAAACAAGGTGTTCGTCAATCAATCGTGAGTAATGGCTTATAGAGCGAGAACTTTCAAACTAACGCGATCTAAACAAAACAGAGCTCAATCCATGCAACTTAAGTAAGAATCTTAACAAATCAACTTGAATTCTGAACTGTAGAGTAATGATTGCAAGCTAGAACAAAAATCGTGTGGTTTCACTTTCTCACGTGACTCTCGCCGAGACTTTTCAACCTTTCCTTTTACCATCAAAGCTGGAAAGTAGTTAGTTCCACATTTCACACAGACATTGATTTCTTCAATCACTTATCATTCAGGTAGTAACAGCCAAAACAAGTTCGGAAAAACAAGTTGAGATTCGGATAACCGGCATGTTCTAAAAGTACCAGGTGAAGTCCAAATTAAAATGCAGCTTAGAATTAGTAATTAGAAACAGGATTAAGGTTTAAGGAACAGGATTGAGAATATTACCTGGGCGGAGGAATCCACAGCCATTGATGGCGTAAAAGGTTGTTCGGTTGTTGCGAGGAAGAGGGAAAAAGGGAAAATGAGAGGAAAGAGAATGTGATTGAGATTGGCGTTGGAATTTGAACGTTACATGGTTATATTATTATGGAGGAACTGAACTGAAGAGGAGGGTCTGAATTTGTAGGAACTATATACTATGCATCACATACATGCATACATAACATAGCTACCCTGCAGTGTGCGCGATTTGCCATAAAGAGTTCTGAATTCGACGTCGATAATCACGACAAACACCTTCGTTGATGTTCTGACCATAATGCCCCTTGATCTTCAACCTTTTTCATTTTATTTTTAAATTACCTTTACTCCTGAATATAAAGTTGTTACTATTGGTGTGGTAAAAGGTATAGTTACATTCCATGTCAAAAAAGATAGCATTCTAAACTGGAATATAAATTAGTTCATAGAAATTAAAGACGGTTGCTTATTTAAAAAATTATATTTAATTATGAGAAAGTCATATTTATGAAATTCATATTAAAATATTATTTTGATTATCGAAAATTGATAAAAATAGATTTTCAGGCTCTAAAAATTGCATAATCTATTTTTAAATAAATGAATTAATATTAATTATAAAATAAAATATTGATTAATTTAAAAAAATAAAACTATAATTATTTTAAAAGGGAGAGTAGTTGCCTATAAAACCTGGAGAATAGTTCTAATGGAAAGTGAGTCAAAAAATCATCATAAATGTAAAATAGCAATAAAGTTAGATTATTTTCTGGGACATAATGACCTGGTTAATAAGTTATGAGGCAAATTAAAGAGTAAAAATTAGCATAGCATATGAGGAGAAAAATGGTACAAAAATGAAATGAAAGTGTTGGTTTTTGTTTATATACAAGGAAGAGTGAAGGGGCAAAAGTGGGGGTTGAAAATGAAGGGTGATGTGTATGTTGTTTGGAAAGCATGTGATGTGAGTGAAGTTGGCAAGCGAAAAAGGTACGTTGGGTGCCACGAACAACGAGACAAACAGAGTCACGGGTTTCTTAACTGCTCCATCTCTACCCGTGTTGGATTCATCTTCTGTTTATATGGGTTTTTTTTTCTTCAATAATAAGACTATAAATAAAAAATTTAATTAAATTTGTTAACATTTATGTGATGTTTTTTTATATCATTAAGAGTGTTGTTAACTAAACATATATTTATATTGTATTAATATGTTCTGCATAACAGCTGTCATGAAATCACCAATCTATTTATTAAAAATTGATTCCTTTTTTAAATTATGGTACACTTATGTATCTACACATGTATGAAAGTTATTCATTCACACAGAATAAAAAAATTAGAAACCTATTGTCTTAATTCGTTGAATAAATGAATAGTTATTGTATAATAATAGATATTATATAGAGTTTTTATCATTAGTTATAAAAACACTTCATAAAAATACATTTGAATTTATAATAAAATTATAAACACGTTAAAATTTAAATATTGAATTTTAATTGATAGTTGTAATTCCATGTTAATTTTTTGAAATTTAACATAATCAGAAAAGTCAAATCCACCGTACGATGTTAATGCAGAATGTGTGCAACATAACAAAAATTAAATTTCAATAGAAATATCATATATTTTTAAAAAATATGCACCATGATAATACTTCTTGGCATTAGAAGAGATAATTTTTATAAAAAAGTGCGAGATGAGGCCTGGAAACTCCTATATTTTGAATACATTATTTATTCTTTATTAATGTTTACATTTTTTTAATAATTAATTATATTGAATATATTTAAAAGTTAAAAAAAAATTTTGAGTCGATGAATGTGACAAGTTGTTTCTCAATCAATCTTCTACCTATTTCTATTTAGATTTATAAAAAATAATAAAACTCTCAACATTCTTAGTGAATTTTAATTAAATTGTTTTATTCCATGTTACCTAATAATGTATTTAAAATAATAATCAATGAATTAATAATAGTTTTATTAAATTCACATTATAGATATATTAAAAATTAGAATGAAACAATATTTGTAATAAAATATTTTTAAAATCTCTAAATTGCTGCTTCATTATTTTAGATAATAATATAATTTATTATTATATTATTAATAAAGAAATATCAAGCGATTTATATATATATATATATATATATATATATATATATATAATTAATTGTCAAATATTATAATTTTATATGACTATACCTTATCTCACCTGAATTAATTTAACATGTATGACTTAGGATTTTGTTATGCGTGCGTGTATTGAATTGTTGGATATTGTTTGTTGGAAAGGTAGATACATATATGTCGCAAGCTTTTCTGTTATAAAGAGATAACGACACCCAACGGCGTTTAATTTGTGAAGGTCTATGCGGACCCACTCCCAAAATTACAGTCTCGCCGGTCCACCACCGTTCAGACATTCAGGCCCATTCCATAAATACATTATATTAGAATCTAGGCCCATTACATAAATACATTAATATTAAAATCTTGGCCAATTCATCATGTACGATCTCATATAATGCTGTTGTAAAACAATAATAGATCAAAAAGAAATGAGGAATACCATATGTGTTATTAATATATTTTCTCATAAATGCTATTACTATTTCGTGAAAAAACTATTAAATTAAAATTATGAAAAATAATCAATATTTTTATATTTTAATAAGCAACAGAATTAATATAAATTTGTTATTCAAAGATTTAGGATGATAATAAACAAATTGCTGAAAATGGTAATCAAAATAGAAATTTCACTAAAAATTACTAATAAATTGTATATGAAGATTAATCATAGATAAAATAATTTATCCGGATAATATTTAAAAAATGAAAATTATTTTCTACAGTTTTATTAAGATAAAAAAAAAAGGTGATTTCAATGAAATTCGAAACTTGAACTCCCACATCATCTGTCGGTTAGCTGAGGCTTGACCCGCCACGCTGATTTCCAGTGATCCACTAATAATTGTAATGGACAGCCCTGCCATGTTTCAAGACCTTCATTATTTTAAGAATTTAATTTATCTATAATGTTTGTTTGTTTGTTTGTTTTTTTTTTAAACACCAATCTGATTGTCATTCTCACATTTTGGTATTGAATGTCTGTTACCCAGAAACAAAAATTAACATGATATTGGAAAGTATATGATATAATTAAAATACAAGATGTTGGTTTGCTATGCATTATGGTTTCATTGATGCACATTTTTTGTGCAGAGCATATTCTCTGCTGAGTTCGGAGTTTTGTTGCACATGACAAGAGACTCGAGTATTTAAACTGAAATAAATAATTCATATGAATGCAGAAACCCTTCTGAATCATAGTTATTACCCTGGCAGCAGCCGCTTAAGGTGTTATTCGGGTGAGGGAAAAAGAAAAGGAATACAGGAAAGACGGAAATAATCAAGATATGATCTAGAACTATTTTCATTTATTTCTCTATTTTTATCATTGTATTTTTCTATTTCTCTTCGGCACTTCAAATTGCTACGTTAATTTTCATATATTTCTATTCTGGTAACTAATTTATTCTAATTACTTTTTATTTTCTCTACCACACAAAGCTTAAGGCCATTTGATTATGAAAAGAATTATTCTTTGTAATTTGTGTGACTCTTTGTTTTGCCCCGCCCTTTTCAAGGTGTGGAGCAAAAGACTTTTTCTCATGAGCTCACTTGATCAATGTACATCAATATAGTTTAAATTTTTTTTAAAATAATCAATATTGCTTTAAGTTTTAATTAAATGTGGTTCTAGAAGTAGCATCCTAAGGATGAACTGGTCCAGAATAGCACTCCCTTAGCACATTTAATGTATTTTCGTTCTTTCTAATAAGATCAAATAGAAAACGGTTTGGGTGGAAATAAATAAGAATCCATTAGTGAGGAGTGAGGACACTGTTACAATCTAGATGTTTTTCTCCAAGGAGGATGAGTACGAGTATGCAAGAATCAAACATATGAAAGATTGCAGAAAGCTTTAGGCTTTTAGCCAAGTTCTAGTCAACGGTTCAGTATCCGAGGCAATAAATCAATGGTTGTTGAATGTTGAGACTTGGATCCCAAGAAGCCCTTGTATCTGACGATTTACTCTATAAAAGCAATCTTTAAACCCTATACTAAATTTTGTTCCTTTTATACAGTATACGATATCAGAAAACCACAGATATAGTTCTGTCTTGTTTTGGCGGTGGTATTGGATTAATTTACCCTCAGTTCAATTTGCTGAGTCAATGAAGTTTGTAGGTTATTCATTAGACTGGCAAATTAAACCGCTTAGACCACAGTATTTTATTTTTGTCGCTTTTCTTGGAAGAACATACAAATGCGGCATATACTCGAGTTGATCTCATATTTAAGCTCAGTGAGAGAGAGGACAAAATAATGGGTATCAAGAATGCAAAACTTTAACGTCTCTTTCTGTTCCTATTAGCTATTTCCTATTTCCACGTGAACAACCAGTCACTTAACTACTACGAAAAATGATAATCAAAACTTACAAAATATGTTGGAAGTTACGTATCGAGTAGTGATATGGCCAAGTATGCAGGGTTATCGCACAGATGATAATGGAAATAGGTGAAGATGCTTCATATTTTAATCGATATAACATGAAAGTAAATATAGTTTCAATTACCGGCAAACTATTTATAGAAAATGCATAACGTTGAAACGGCATCTTCTAGACAAATTATTAGATGCCTTAATAGTACAATCCACAATCTGATAAAAGTACAAGTTGTGGATTAAATTATGAATAAATATGCTCTTTAGAATAGCAGTTTTTGCATTCCAACAATGAAAAATAAACAGACAGAGTTTAGATCCCTCTTGCCAGACATGAAAACGTGGAGAGAAGTGTAGTAATTTAGAAAGCAGAATGCTATAAATGTAATTATGAAGGCATAATCTAAACAAGAGTGGTTCCTCTTGTATGAATGGAGAAGGCATATCGGTCCAAGAAAAAGAATAGTTATTATAAAATTGATTTGTATCACATGGATAATGAAAATGCTATGATAAACATATGTATTCACTTGTTATATATAATCCCCTCAAAACAAATTATAAAAGCTCCATCCTTCTTGTAAACTTGATACAGACAGAACCCCCAGCAGGCTCTTACATAACAGAATGTAGATGGAAAACACCATATTTTACTAGTGACGCTGCCATTGCATTGTGTTTCTATTGATTGAACAATTAAACGTGATTACACTGTCGGCAAAATTCATATACACTGCTTTTATTGCTAAAAAAAAAGAAATTTAGGGGGAAAAGGACAGTGCCTTCCACTATCCGCTGTACATGTCGACCACTAGGTATACATTTTCACAACCCGTATCATCTCGTTGAATCATGTATAACAACTACTCAAGCAGGTTGAATAAAGAAAGGAAAATTAATTAATAATAAACAGATGAAAAACACAAGTTCAAATGATTCAAGTACCTAAAACTCGTAAGGCTTCTCCATCTAGTTCCTGTTACCAGAGCCAATGCTCTCGTAGAACAAAATGTAACCATGGTCTGTATTGCTGGAATACTCTTGCGATGAACCAAAGAATGTCTGAACAGCAGATTCATCAATCATCTCAACATTTTCGTCATCAAAAAATAACCAGTGGTTGTGGCTTTTCACAAGGCTGACATAATGCCCGTGGTTGGGCCCACTCCCAACATGAACAACTACTGCAAATAGAGAATACTCAATATCTGCATCTTCAGCAGTATCGCTTAATTTCAGCTCGAGTGGGAAGACTACCCGGTAAGACAGCTTCTTGTAGCGTCCCAGCTGTTCAATGTATTTAAACCGCTTAAGGTGGATGACCAAGACGTGAGGTGGCTTCTTTATCTTCATTCTCTTCTGAGCTTCTTGCAAACTAATAATAATAATAATAATAATAGAAAGTTCACACCTTGGTTATCAGACCAGTAAACGGACGTAAATATATTGGTCTTTTTACACAGTCCACTGACAACAATCAAAACTCACCTATATGTCCACTACCCAGAAACAGGACATCATAGTTTTAGTAAAAAGAGCCATTTATAGCAATCTATTTTTAATCAAAAGGAATAACAATTTGCCAACAAATAATACATAACTTAGAAGGCATTTCAAACCTCCGCTACATCACAAAAAAAATTCCTCATTTTAACAAGCAATAGCAAGGTTCAGCTATGCAAATAATTCAAAATAGTTGAACTGACCCTTTATTTTCACAATCGACGTTATGAAGACAGTCAACAGCGGACGCCACAAAAGTATTCAGGTAATTATAAAGTCAAAGTTAAAAGTCAATTCTATACCTGCAGCACTTGTCACAAAAAAATTTGTCTTCAGCATTCAATGTCTCCGTTGAACTGAAGTTTTTCAAACAGCTTGTAATTGAACTATTTTGTTCAATGTCAAGGCTCAAATCAAAAAATGTTTCATCCCTAGCTGTTACAGTTTCACATCGCAGGCACCTTGTTTCGTTGGTGAGTATTCCCTGACCAGAGCAATTTACAAAATGAGATTCCTAAAGGGGGAGAAGGAGGGAGTGCAATAGATTTGACACAATACAAAGTTCAAAGTTAATAGCTATTCCAAGCTTTGTGGCAAACAACACAGTAAGGACAGTCATCAGGTGTTGTTTGGCAGTTATTGTGAGTAACTGTAAAACAGTAATTTACTTTGTTGTGTAACAGTTATGCATGTATTTCATAAATAGGATGTGTGACAGATTCTGAGAGTGTGCATGTTCAATTGCTGGGATTGGTTTAATGGACGTGACTCCATGGTAGGATAAAGGTCTGCTTTAGTGTTCTGTATGATGTATCATATATTCCGGTTTAATTCCAGAACTCGATCAATAAAACCTTCTAATTTGATTCCAAACTCTTATGTTTAACACAACACACTAAAATAAAGGCATAAGTCACCTGAAAATTTTTGTGCACCCAAGTAACTAAAGGCTCTTTTTTAGCACCATTAGCTAGACCATTCTTAGGTCCATTTGCAGTCTTTTCGGAAGGTGGTGATGTTTCATGATCATTTTTGGCAGACTGAGTCTCTTTCTCCAGAATGTCAACAAGTTCATTTAGCAAAAAGTTCAAGAATTCGTGAGCATCCTACCAAAAAAAGAGCAGATTCACAATGACATTATTGTTTTCTAATCTTTAATGGGTATATATATATATATATATATATATATATATATATGTATGTATATATTAAAAAACAAAAGCTAGATGAATGAGACATTGTGCAATAAACAGTACACTGATCTAGTATAACAGAATTAACAATACATTTATAAACAAGGAATGGCATAAACTTAAACAAATGTAGATATATAAACCCTTTTTGAACAAAACAGGTTATCATTATTTAACCCATTAAAGTCAAGTGGAACATCAACTAGATCAAGGTTTAAGGTCTCTAGTGGAAGTGTGGAACCATATGCATGTAATTAATGCTCCATGATCCAAGTTTCGCAAGCCTAATACACGTATCAAACACTTTCACACAAGTTCATAACATAAATGAAACACAAGTTTCCAATCACAAATTCAAAACACAATTAACCAGTCAAGGTTAATACGAAGATCACAATTACAATTGCAAATTTACAAAACATGAAGATACCATTCTGCCCAAGGTTAATACAAGAATCCAATTTACAATTGCAATCATAGCCCATAACTCTCAGTTTCGATCATTAGCCATGCCTTTAACTTCAAGTGTCACTGTAAGATCTAAAATTTAAACCATTTTGCTATGAAGAGTGGCACAGTGACACTAAAATGCTAAGGTTCATATTTAGATCAGATGCAACTCACAATCAGCTATGTAGGGACATACACAAAAGATATCTGCACACATAAACATTGCCAAATCCTTTACACCTACAAACTAATATTCTGTGTTATTACTGTGAAAAATAAACTAAGTTACCAATTTTTAGAATAATCACCTTCTGACTTAAGTGCTCATTCTTGACAGTTTAAAGTTTAAGCACGTACCTGGTGCATATAGCTACGGAAGAGTTCATTCTGTTTTTTCAACCTCTGAACAAATCGTTTGGGAGCTATAACACCCGTTTTCTTCTTCTGGGAACTTATCTATACCAAAAGGAATAATAGAGGTTAACCTAATACCATGAAAGAAAGAAATAAACAGGTACGTGCATCAGCTGGAGATTTGAGGCAAGAAATTGGTCGAAGAGTATAATTTGAAGCAGTTTATCAGGCATGGGTAAGTACCATATGTACTCAACATACATAGAAACAGATTTGGACAAACATGCAATTACCTCTGCTAATTTCTTATAACTCGAGGGAAAGCCACAGAGGGGGTAATAGGATACTTGTATAATAGCACACCATGTATATTTAAAGCAATTTCTAAAACATAATTAATGGCAGATGTATATTCTGGCAAGCATGCAATCACTGTCTCCAGTCTCTCAAATTTAAAAAGAAAACAGCAAAAGAGAAGTACAACAGCCAACAGAAAGGAACATAAATGTTAACCAGTGAAGATAACAAACTAATAACAAACCATGCCTAACTCAATCAAGTAAGAACTGTGAAGTGGTCTCTCATGAAAGAAAAATCAAATTTTACCTGCGAAAATAAGTCGGCTAAGCAAGTTAAAAGATTTTCCTCGCCATCGGCCAAGCTTCTGTTGTTTGCATAATACTCTAGCAATTGTTCTCGAAATGGAACACAGAAGTATAGTGCCTGCAGCCAAGGAAAAAGAGTAACTTTTTAGTGGAAAACTGTTAAAATGGTTACAAGGTATTCAAATTCCAAACTGGTATACGTGAAAAACTTCTAATATCCAAACAAAATTCATCAAAAATACAAGACTCTTCACAGTGCTGTAAGTTAAGACAAATTCCATGACATCAGTCTATCTATTTTGAATGCTGGTAAGCCGTCATCAATATTTCAGTACTCTTTCCAATAACCAGAAATACCAATCAGTTCTGCTATTTATTGAGTAGACCGAACTCAAGTTAAAGACAAGGAAGATAAAGCATATACATTAGTGCAATACTCAAAAGAAAATGACAAGCCACCTTTTTGGTCAATGAAAACAATTTGCTTACTCATACGAAACAGATATTCAAGGAGGAAAGAGATGTTATAGCCGTGTATGATAGACAATTCCCAAACATTTCGCTCCGTCTTTCAATTTCTTTCTGTGTATTTCCTTATTTCCGTTAGAACAAACCCGTGGCAAACAAGTAAAACCTCCAACGTCAATGTATATTCATATATTCATTCATGAACCAAGCCACTGAAAGTTAAACACATTGACCTTCTTCCACGACGATATCTTATTTCTTACATGTTCATAACTCATAGAGGACAACTACCAAAATTTCCCAGCGAGAACAATGAAAACCAAATCAACCACATTAATAATTAATTAATTAATCGGCGATTTCCAAATAACACAATTGAATTCGAAATCGGATTATTAAGTGAGAGAATCGACGAAGACCTGCAAAACGCTGTTGCAGTAACAAGTATTGCCGAAATTCTCGAGGCCGAAGTAACGTTCTCCTTCGGGGAATTGGTCGCCGAGAGCCTTCTCGAGCTTAGAGCCCGCAGCACCCATGAGCGCGTCGAAGCGATCACCGCGACGCAGATCTTTATCCGGTTCAACTCAGTGAGTCGCGTGACACACCGTCATCGTGGAAGGTTGAATGGTTGTTCCTCTCTTGGCGCGTAGCTTCGAATCGCTAGGGTTTGTTACGGAGAGAAGTTGGGTTTCAGTTACGAATGAAAGTAGCGAGGGAAAGAGACAAGGAGGGTTTGGTTGGGAGGAAGAAAATGGAGATGGAGAAGAAATGGAGAAAATGGACAGAAGAACGGCGTTTGAGAAAAATCTTGCTATAATAAAGAGGAGAGGGCAAAAAGTGATTACAGTTTTAGGACGCGCCACTCTTCCCCTCCACAATATCCGTGACGTGACAGATTTGTGTTAAAACGGTTTCAAGCACCAACTTTCAAATTCAACTCTGCTTTCATATTAAAAAAAAAAAACACATTTTTAGTTTTTCAGATTTCAAAGTTTATCATTTTAATCAATATTCTTATATTTATATATTTTTAAAATAAAACAGATATTGAATATTTGGTAAAATAAAAGTACAAATTATCATTTATAATTACTAAGTCTATATAAGCATAAAAAACAAAATCATTTTAAATAAAAAATAAAACAAGCATATTTTAAATTACAATAACTAAACATATTACTTTTAAATTTGAAAAACATAAAATAAATTTATTTTATTTTTTATAAACTAAATATATATTAAAATACAAAATTGTATTTGTTATACCAAACAATTGATTTGACGCCAAATAAGACATGAAGAGAAGAAAATTAGAGAGATATGATGAGTAATATGATTTATTATGAGTGTTAATAGTATAATTGAGGTATTCCTCTGTCAATGCGTGAAATTCATAAAATGGTGTTTCGAACTTTCCAGTCGTTTCGAACTTAAAATTCCTGGGAAAAAAATTATTTTAGAACTTAATTACATTTTATAGTTTTTTTACAATAATCAAATCAAAATACTTTATAAATCTCTTGAATAAACTTCGACAGTCAGCAAATACCTTAATTGATTTTATCATAAATTGCTATAATAAGCATATCAGACACATACGCCAGTTAAATCAAATAAAGTATAAGATTTATAAGCATTAGAAATAACTACAAATGGCACTTATACACGCATCAATAAGCACTTAAAAATACTGTACTGTAGGGTAGGGTGACACATGAGAGTGGTACAGTTGTTAGTTGAAAACTCGGTGGCTTATTTATTGTATAAATTATAATGGTGTTTAGGGGTCAAGTACTATTTTATTGATTTAATCACAAAAAAAAAAAATGGAAGTTAAATGCATTTTATTATAAACTTTCAAGTAGGTGGTGTTTGTTTATTTTAATAAATCTTAATTGTTTTAGAATTTAGGGTTAATAATATAATATTTGAAAGAAACACAAGAGTATTAATGGCAATGTTTGAAAAAAGAGAGGATCAATTTATTGTTATCAACTAAATTAATAATTTTGTAATCTTAATGAATGATTGAATCTTAAGATAATAATGATGGAATAATATTCATTAATTAAGATTTACAAAATTAACTTAATAGTTGCATCCAAGGAAAGACAGTAATGTTTATAGAGCCTTCATTAATACTGTGGTCTAAAGTCTGAAACACACGTAACATTTTGAGTTCATATTCGGTTGTTATCATTATCACGCATTAATATAAGTTATGATAGGAGATACTAATTTTAATTCATAAAAAATATAATGAAAATATGTTATTTAATTTGTATGTTCTTTAATTTTTTTTTCAATCTATTTTTTTATATTTCTTTACTTTCTCACATTAATAATAAAAAAACTTATATCAAATATATAATTTTTTTTATATAATCAACTTCTATCAAATTAATTATTATTAATGTTGGAAAATAAATTGAGATATTATTAACTAAATTAGTTATTACTAATTTTAAAAAAATTCATAATAATTAATAAATAATTTTATTTTATTAAATCATATTTAGATTCAGTATTTTACATTAATCATATAATTAAATTAATTTATTTATTAATTATAATAGAAGAGACTCTATCCAAGACCTACCGGTCTTCACAAGCATGAATCCATTTAAGAATATCACTTGTTTTACTTTATATTAACTCTTGATGTAACTTTATGATCTTTTTTATTGTCTTAGTCGTCAAATTTGTAATATTCCTTTCGCAACTTTCTTTGGACATGGTAATGTTTCTGACCGTATCACACTTTTAATTTATTTATGATGGTGCATGTAATTTTTTCCCGTAATTATCTTTCAATGTCTTTTCGATTTAATTAATTTTTTTTTCATTGTTAAAAAGGGTGTTTTTTTTTTATGAAAATGGTTCATAGGTTTTTCAAAATTTAATAACTAAAAACGTTCATGGGAGATTGATTGTGTCGTTACCTTTGCATAATTCGTTTTACAATTTATATTTGCTTGGTTTATCAATAATTAGTGTAGAAAATAATAAACTCATCATGTAGAATAATTTGTGATTAAATAATAAGATAGAATTAATTTTCAGCTTTTTTTTTACTTTATATTTTTAAAAGTTAACAATACTTAAAAATATATTTTTAAACCATATCATAGTCACCCAAAAATAATTATGTATTATATATACTTTGAAAAAAACACAAAGACGGAATATTTTAAGTTATATATAGTCAAATGGGTAATACATAATGCGGCATTAAGCAAGTGAACCTTCCCATTAACTTCTTCAACATGCGAACTTAGCCACGAGATTAACATTACATTAAATTAAACATTGTTTTCTGACAAACCTCCACCGGATCAACCTAAAAGAAGAGAATAAATAAATAGAAAAAAAGGACCACTTCTTACCCCAATTCCGGAAAATACATATTAAAAATAAAAATATTTATTACAAAATATAGGCTTATAACAATTTATACAACAATATACATAATATTCGTATTTTCGTTTATTCTTATTTTGTCAGTTATCAAATTTAAAACGTATCCTTTTATTCTGAACAATTTGTTATATATATTTTTAGCACTCATTATGTGTTTTCCCTTTTTTTTTAATACTATTTATAAAAAGTATCAAACATCTTCTATTCTTTCAAAATATTAATTACGGAAATCTTTAATAAGAATAACTCTTATAAATTATTTTTTACCTTAAAAATATAAAATAAAAATTTATGATATCACATTATTTTTAAATAATTTTATTATTAATTTTACTTTATTAAATTTTTTCTTAATAAATTTTAAAAAATTTATTCTTTTTTCTTATTTATTTTGATTTGCTTATATAATAAATTGTTTGATGAAATAACTATAAAAATTATTTAAAAACTTAATATTTTTCTAATAAAAAATTTCTTCAAATAATTAATACTTTATTTATACATCTCAAAAATTAATTTCTATTAAAAATACTCTAAATTATTTTAGTAGTTTATAATTTAGTAGTTTGTAGGTGTGTAGAAAATTATATTTATCTGGAAAATAAATGTGGCTGCATAATAAATGGACCCATTTTTATGATACATTTGATAAGAATGCGAAAAAACTCACATGAACTATACTCTATCGTTTGTAAAGTTATTATTGTATCACAAATTTAGGCCATGTTTAGTTGAAACAGCATAAAATCAAAGAATGAGTGATTAAAATATTTCGTTTAATTATTCAAAGGACAAAACAAAGGAGGTAAAATAAATCAATGATGTTGAATAGGGTTATGTTCAATATAACAGCAATGTAAACACATTATAAAATATCGATCACGTATTACTCGAATAATAAGACCTTTATTCATCAACTTGAAGAGTACAGAAATAAATATTTATTTTCTTGACTTATAATATTCTTCATTAAATTCCCATACGCTACTTTTCTTATCCTTCTACTTTTATTTTATTTTCTTCGTTTGTTTTTTCATTTCCTTCAATTTAAACAACATAGTTTAAAGTAAGGATAATATAAGTGTCTATCAGTAGAAATTAATTTCAATAAAATAGTATGTAACCTATATTGTTAGAGATTTGAATACTAACATCATTGATTTGAAAAATAATTTTACTCGACGACCATCCTGAGCTGAGAGTTGATCTTACATTCATACATGTGAGAATATTCAACGAACGAATAAAAACAAATGAAATATTTGTTATTTGTGTAACTACTTCAAGTCAAGAAAGCGACTTGCAAAATCAATTTACAAGGCGAGGTAATGGACATCCATTATTTGCAAATGGTCAACCCCAGGGGTACAAATCATGTTGTCTTAATTATATTCAACATTTTTAAATTTTACAACCTATACAAATATAAAATAAATAAATTAATATTTATCCCTCAAATTCGACCTTCTTTCATCCACATAATTTAAAAAACATCTTTTGAATCTTTATAGTTTGACGAAAATAATGATTTAGTTTTTCCACATAAACCTTATGGGTCCAAATAGCATTAAAATGAACATCTTTTTTTTTAATAATAAATACTGATACAATAATAATACAAACTAAAAATGGGTTCATTTGGAACCATTACTCGCACAAACGAGATTTCTAACTAAATCTAGAAGGGCTACTTAAGAAAAAAGAAAAAATATATGGAGATTGATCTTAAATTTGTAAAATGGATTTTTATATTTTGTTAATTTTGTGTTGAAGATGTTTAGAATGAATGTTGGAGCAATTGAAAATCAGATATAAACAAACTTTAATTTGAGTAATATTTTTGGAATTAACTTTTGATACTTCTCATTTTTTTCTAACTCTTTTATTTTATCATATTATATTTCTTATTAATTAATTATACACTACATATATTATCAAATAAATTGCCATTTTAATCCCATTATCATAATGCATAGTGTCTCATTAGTTTCTGAAGAATTATATATAATGTATTGTTTAATTAAAATCACTTTAATGTTGAGAATTAATGTAACAAGGATATCTTTTGAAGATGCCAAAGGGTATACTTTGAAAATTGCTTAGTTTACACTTTCTTTCTCTCTATAATTGTTTCCCAGCGTCGCACCAGGTGTCTCCGTCAATTTTCTTTTATTTTAAAGGGTCAACGCAATTAGTTGATTCATTTTGATAAAATTGAGTTCGCTGCAACACAAATCCAAACCCAAACCCCGCACCCTCCTGCGCCTATCTCTCTCCTTTGCCGTTCAACTTCCTTAATCCAAACCATGTCCAGTTCCAACTCCTACCCAAACGCGGATCCGACCCGAATACTAAACTCTCAGGATCCAACTACCACCGCAGACCCTCAGCTTCCGCTTCGGAACCTCTCCCAGATTCGGACCAGAATTGATTCTCTACAACACTTTCTATCTCAATCCATCAACACCAACACTCCTCTCACCACCGATCAAATCGCCATGGTCTCCACTCACATCATTTCCTCCATCCACCAAATCATAGTCAACGGCGCCGCCCTCGTAACTTACTCCCAACATTCCACATCCGCCGCCGTCACATCAGACGCGCCGTCGTATCCGAAGCCGGAACTCTCCACCTCTGATAAAAACAAGCAACTACTCGATTCCAAAATTGAATCTCCCGAGGACGACGGCAGCGTCAAAAACGACGTGGTGGATAGCGAAATCGTGGAACTCGATGCCGTGGAACTCCTCGCGGAGCACATCCACTTCTGCGAGATCTGCGGGAAAGGCTTCCGGCGCGACGCGAACCTCCGCATGCACATGCGCGCTCACGGGGACCAGTTCAAGACGCCGGAGGCGCTGGCGAGGCCGTCGGCAACCGGCACGAGGCGTCGTGCGGTGCAGTTTTCGTGTCCGTTCGAAGGCTGCAACAGGAACAAGCTCCATCGGCGGTTCCGGCCGCTGAAGTCGGCGGTGTGCGTGAAGAACCACTTCAAGCGGAGCCACTGTCCGAAGATGTATTCGTGCACGCGGTGCCACAAGAAGCACTTCTCGGTGCTCTCGGATTTGAAGAGCCACGCGAAGCACTGCGGAGAGTGCAGGTGGAAGTGCACGTGCGGGACCACGTTCTCGAGGAAGGATAAGTTGTTCGGCCACATTGCGCTGTTTGAGGGCCACGCGCCTGCGCTCGCCTGCGACGAAGAAGATAAAGGGAAGCAAGTGGTGGAGGGTGATGACGAAGATCCAATGATGATGACTGAAAGTGGATTTGAATTGGCTAATTGCTTTGGGGATGAAGAGTTGCCGGAAGGGTTTTTTGATGATTTTGGGTCCATCGATGACTACTGTTTAAGGGAAGTGCTAGGGTTTCCTAATAATTGACATTGCACATGTACGTGTTTATTGTAGAATTTCGATCCATTTCGACTCTTAATATATTTTGATCCTAATCAAAATTTTATGTTCTTTTTACTTAGGCTAGCAAATTAATTTTCAATCGAGATGCGTACGAAGATCGAATTTTGCCCGATTTCAAAGATACTATTTTTGGTGTTTTATATTTAAAGTGCTTGAAGTAAAGAAAATAAAAAATTCGTGGAATCGAAAAGCAGTGCTGAACATTAGATTGCAAAGAAACGTAACATGCGGAAATCTTAAATTTGCTTTAAGTATAAAAGACAGGGAATCGAAACAGCAGAAATGTAAATAGCAGGAAGTATAAATGACAGTAAATCAAATGTGCAGAAAGTATAAATAACTTGGAAATCGAAATTGCATTAATGTTAAATGACAAGAAAACTTAAACGCGGAAATTTAACTTTCATTGAATCGAAATGACCAAAAATCGAAAGTACAGAAACATAAAATTGCTAAAGATAAATTGCATCAAAGTAAATTACCAAGGAAAATACAGAAAACGGTAAAGGTACTCAATGAGCATGGAAATCCAGATTGCCAGAAGCTTCATGATGTTCGTCGTTTCTCCGGTAGACTTCTCACTAATGATTCTGTTCTCTGCCAATTTTCTGCTCCCTTTTCCTTTCATCCTTTGCTCTATTTATAGTGTCTTTTCAAGTAGTCTCTTAAGAGTAGTTAACGAAGACTACTACCACGTTCTCTGTGCACGTCTTTTGCAGTTTTGTTCCTATCTCTGCGGTTTAGAAACTGTATCCACGTTCCCATGAATGAGGTAACCGCTCCCTTGACCTTCGACTTTTGCTACCGCTTACTATGTTCGATGTATACATCGACCGTTCTTCTTAGCAAAAATTTCGATATTCATGTATATTAGTCTTTCCTTCGATTTTAGATTTCGCAATTTCGAGAAATTTGGATTTGCTTTTGATTCTCGATATCCTTAACATTACCAGGTTTTTGTTTTAGCAATTGCATCGACTTGTTAATCCCTTGTATAGTTCTCGATTTTTTGTTTCCCTTCACTTTCTCGATCCTTTTATAAATTTCTCACTAAAAAAATGCATCCTTGGAAGAATATAAATAGTTTCCGTTTATATTCTTTCAACACGATTCCCGCTTTCGCTCGTTGGAGGCCCACAATAATTTAGGGTTTAGGGTTCCTGGGGTTTTAGGGTTTATGGGTTTTTAGGGTTTCTTTTTGCTTTATGTCGTCGTCTCGTCAGTCTGCTGCCTTGCAGTACAAGCCACATTAATTGTTTTTGCTTCCGTCGTTTCCAGCACCCTAGGTAGCTTTCCCCTTAAACTCTATTAGTTTTTTTACCTCTTTGCAACTTCGTCTTCTTCCTTGAGCTCTTGCCTTCGTCCCCTCTATCCTTCTGCTTTCCTTAGCTTATTGAAATGGCAACCTCGTCTAAGTCTTCTGAATTTTCGGCTCCACCTCTTCCTTCGCTGACGGCTAACCTTCTGGAGATCAATAACCAGAAGTTTGCTCCAGTCCCTCTAATGGAGGAAGCTTCTCAGAAAGTTGCTGAGACGCAGGTACTCATTCCTTACACTGCTGATGGTGTTAATTTTGGTTTTGGGGGTCCTATTCGTTCTAGTAGTGGGACTGTTTCTTCTTTCACCCTCTCGAATAGCCCAGCACTTATTCACCACCTTGAAGTTCGGACTAATTTTTTGAATATGGTCTCGAGAGTATACCGAACGAGTCCTCCTTCCAAAAAACCTTCATTTATTAGGTGGTTTGATAGAGTAGAAGCCCAGTTTGGGAACCACTGGAGAGATGTAGGGATTTTTGATTTTTTACACCTATCTCGATGCGATTTGTCATTTTTGGATATGACAATGTTTTTATCTGCGGTGCATTTGTGGAATAAGGAATTACATGCTTTGGAGTTACCTTGTGGTCCCCTTTCACCTACTCTCTTTGAGGTTGCTGCTATAACTGGGCTAAAACCCACCGGGGAAAAGTATTATAAGGGTGCTTACCCTTCGGATAATTCTTTGAGGTCTAAAATCGATTGGGAATCGAAGGCCTATGGACATTTCCTTGAGAAGCATTTCGTCGATGACGAATCGATAGCTGTGACTGACGAAGAACATATAGCCTTTTTGGTGTATTGGCTATGTACCCATGTTTTCTGCCCCCGATCCATCCAAATTTCCTCCCACCTCTACAACCTTGCCTATCTTCTCCATACTGGCCGGCCTAGGATATGTTTGGCTAAAATTTTGTTAGCCCACGTGTATACTGCTTTCGACGAAGCTGTCGACATTTTGAGTACTCCTAAAGCATCGGGAAATTTCTCTGGCCCTATTTGGTTTGTACAGTTATGGCTGAACTCGATTTTTGAGAGCATCCTTTCCCCAACTTCCACTATCCCCCAAGTGTAAATATCGAAGGTGCTCGATTGTCTTCTCGCCACCCTCACCACAAGCCTGACGAAGCGGCTTACTGTAGATATCTTAAGTTTTTGTTAACTAGATTTAATTTCGATTCAACTTTGGCTCCCTTTACCGTGCATCTTGGACGAATCAGCGACCAACTTCGAGGGCCAGTTTGGTTTAAGTCAAAATTCCCTTCCTTAACTCCTGGGTTGCAATCGGAGTTGGTTGATGTATGGAGTAATTATTTGACCCATGATGTATTAGTATCGGGTTTTCAGTCCAAAGATTTTAAGTTCATCACCTATTACCCTCAACTTTTCTCGAGACAACTTGGTCTGAGCCAATCCACACCTTTCTTCCCCCTTGATACCTCCCCAAGGTCCAAGTTAAGTGAATCGACAATCGGACGGGAGCTGACCAAACTATTACCACAAACCCCACTACTTTTTTATCCCTATGCTTTCGAATCGAATTATTTATCCACTGTGGGTTTCTCTCAATGGTGGGCTGATTGATTCTCGAGTAATCATTCTGCTTTTGACGAAGTCCGACAAAAATTGACTGTTCATCCTTCTCTTGTGTTGCAGGACAAATCGAAAGCGAAGAAAGGTACACATTTCCACTGTCTTCAAATATCTCGATTCGAGAATTTTTATCAAATATGTTACAACCCATTGAAATTAGAATCGACCTTCTATGATGCTGTTATTTCCTTATCCCATAACCACCAATCGATCGAACCACAAAATAATCAATCCCTTAGGAAAAACACCTTTTGAAATGTATTGTCCCGATCGCCTTCCTACTTTTCCTACAGCACCCTTTGGGATTGCCAAACATTTAACTCATCCCAAATGGGTTCGAGAACTAAGGACCTTAAAAGAAACACTTCGTCCCAAACCCAAAAATAAAGATATTTCCGTATCGAAATTATTTTATTTCCCTTACCTTAATCTCCCTGAGGTTCTCTTGCCTCCCTGGCTTGTGCATATTGATCGAGTCACGATTTTGACTTCATCACCTTTTGGTGAGGTTTTACTGTTATTTCATGTTTTTTGATTCTGTATATTGTAAGCTAATCTGTCTTCTTTTATTGACAGTTTCGAAGTCCACCAAGGCCGTCGTTGTCGAGAAAGAGCAGGAGAAGAAACAAGAGGACTGAGAGTCCTCAGATGAGTCGGACCCATCGGCCTTCGTTAGAAAGCGCAAACATTCGGCCACCATTTCCTCATCTTCGAAGAAATCGAAGGTTCTTTTCGATTTCTCATTGTTTTATTCATTTTTCTGTCTATGGTTGATCCATATTCTTATACTTATTTCTTTTCGATTTCTAATTTTTTAGAAACAAAAATCGAAGAGTTCTCGATCTGTTCAACCAACTGCTGTTAATCCATTATCGACGGACTCTAATACAGTCACTAAACCGGGTCAAACAACACCCACCACGCATTCCAGACACGTAAGTCCCTTTTCTACATCATTTTATATTCCTAGATTTCGATAAGATCTTGTTACATGATTTTGATTCTCGATATTTTTCAGGATCATCCATCGGCGACTATATCGACAAATGTCGATTCTTAACTTCAAACATCAACACCCCTTCCTGAGGTACTACTCTTATATAATTTTGTATATGTTTGTTTGACTTTTTATACATTTCCTATTCTGATATTTGTTTTCGATTTACAGCAACCTGAGGTTGTACAGACTCTTCCTCCTGCCTCAGCACCCCTTGCTCTACCTTCCCCTGGTACTTAAACTTTTTCCTTTACTGTGTTAAATTTCATTTCATTCTTTATTATGAATTTTCGATTCACTTCTTCGATTTCTCTTCTTTTTAGTAAATATTCCCATAGTCCAAGTCCAGGACTCCCCTTCACCCGTTTTTGCAGAGCAATTGGACTCCCCTCCTTTTGCAATGCCTGCGATTGAGTTGCTCTCGGAGACATTGCCATCGATAAGTGATCCTGCTCCAAGCAATGTGCCGGAATATCGATCTGCCATCGAGGAAGACCCTTTCTCGATCCTCGATATTCTGATGTCTGACGAAGCCACTCCTTCCAGCCATTCGTCCCAACCGCCCGCGGTCTCGACCGAGGGAGTGTACCAGCTGAAACAACGTTTCAGGTCCTTCTTCTACTCTTCACCTCTGGAAGCTTTGGTGGAATCTCGTGAGAGGAAACAACGCTTCCAGGAGATTCTTACTTCGATCGAAGCACTTCCTGAAGACGCTCTTCCAGAGGGTTTCGATACGAAAGTCGCAGCGGCCACCGATTTGTTCAATAAGGCATATGCTACACATAAGAAGAAGCATTCGATTGCAACCAAGTTATCTGATATTTCTTCTTTCCATATTGAGAAATCGAAGTTACTGAAGACCCAGAAGCTCAATCTGGAGGAAGCATCGACAACGCTGGCTTCGATCGATAGTGAGATCGAGGAGTTGGAGAAGAGACTACATCAGCTGAAGTTGCAGAAGGATTTCCTTACATCAGAGATTGATTCGATTAAAACTTCTGCAAAGGACGTGGCGCTATCTCTTGGTCAGAGTATGGAGCGCAAACACAGACTGA